TATAGTGGGAAAAGTGTCCTGAATGTGTTTAAAGACAGCTTAGGAAGGTACTTCCTGAGAAACTTCCTAATTATGTTCATACTAGCTACCAGGTGGAACTGCTTGTTAGAATCAATGTTTTTTCTACCTCTGGTCAGGATTCAGGGTTTGGTTTTAGAAAGTGAAGAAGTTTCTGATTTAGTGGTTGTTGTTTTTTCTAAATGTGGAAACCATACATGTCTCGTCCGGAACGAAACCCGACTAGCAGCTCAATTGACGACTCCAGATATTTTCCACCCCTATGGAACCACCTGACAGGTCGACCTGCTGTTTATCGTGTCGCTGTTTGTCACTAAACACTCGGTGTAACAGTGTCTGCTGCCACACCGGGGTCCATCCATGCAGGTCACGTTCAGTCTGGGCTCTAACCTGCATTTATTAATTAGTGGTGATAAAACTCCTGTATAAAATACTGAACCACTGCAATGGTTTATTTGGACCACGTCTGCTAAAGATGACGCGAACACCCTGCGACGGAGCATTTTCTTAAGCGTGTGTGTGTTTCTTTCCAGTGAGCTCAAAGAGCGGCTGAAGCCGGAGCTGCTGGAGCTGATCCGCCAGCAGAGACTCAACAGGCTGTGTCAGGGAACCATGTTCAGAAAGATCAGCAGCCGACGCCGGCAGGGTGAGCAGCAGGCACACACACAGTCTTACACTCCTTAAAGACAGCAGCTTTGTCAGGCTAACCGCTGTAATTGTTTTTTCTTCTTCTTCTTCTTCTCAGATAAACTGTGGTACTGCCGCTTGTCTCCCAATCACAAAATGCTTCACTACGGCGACGTGGAGGAAGATATGGACAATCCACCAATAGAAACACTGCAAGAGAAGAGTGAGTTGTAACGGGATGAATTTGAAAACTCTTCCCTCCAAACACACACTTAGCAGAAAGCTGTGCACAGTCTCACACACATATAACAAACAGGCTTTCACAGATGATACGGCCCTGATGCAGTCGGCTAAATGGCCACACCAGGCAGCTCATTCCTGTTTACTCTTGGACAGACTCTAAAAACAAAAGATTCACATGAAAGTCACATTTTCTCTGTGGAGCTTGTGCATGTTGCCCCTATACAGACTGTTGGAGGTGGAGCGTGCCAAGTTAGCGCCACCTAAAGAGCCACAACAGCCCCATTACTGGGAAATACACCAGGTTGAAATTAACCAGAATCATCCTCTACAAACCCACTGCTGTGGTTAATGATGCGTGCTTTCTGAAACGGTTCATCAGAATCATTATGCACATTGATTCTGCACATGAAACAGGATTCACAACACAAAACATCAAAACAGCAAAACAAAACCTGATGCTTCCTGCAGATAAAACTGTTTGCTGCCTGAGAATCCAGCTACACTTTAGGCTGATTAGTTTCATTGATTTGATACCTTAAATGTAATTGTTCAAACCCAAAAACAACACAAATATGTATATTTAACAAAACATTTTTTCGTTACTATAACTACATTGAACTGATTTCTCTCTCCTTTCTTTCCTCCTCCAGTTCCAGTAGCAGATATCAAAGGCTTGCTGACGGGAAAAGATTGTCCTCACATGAAGGAGAACAAAGGCAAACAGAACAAGGTCAGCTGCTTTCCTTATCTTCAGCATCTGTAGGTGGAACAAACTGGAAGTCTGACTGTGTTTTTGCTGCTGTAGGAGGTGCTGGATCTGGCGTTTAGCATCACGTATGACGTGGAGGAGTACAGCCTGAACTTCGTCGCCCCCTCTAGAACTGACGTGAGTCTAAATGTGCCTGTATTTCTAAATGTGTACTTCTTCTATGACAGTTCCTGTAGTTTTTCATTCCTGTGCAATAGGAATATAAGCTTATCAGCCTCCCCCTTCTGTCAGTTCTGCCTGTGGACAGATGGACTGAGCGTCCTCCTGGGCCGGGAGATGAGCAGTGAGACCATGCGCAGCGAGCTGGAGATCCTCCTGTCGATGGAGATTAAGCTCCGCCTCTTGGACCTGGAGAACGTTCCCATCCCAGAAAGCGCCCCGGTCGTACCCAAACCTCCCAGCAACTACAACTTCTGCTACGACTTCAGCCAGACGGAGCAGTAGAGCACAAGGAAGCGTGAATGTGTAAATACATGTGTGTGTGTGTCTGGAGTATGAGGTGTGTGTGTGTGTGTGTGGTGAAATCTGAACTGTGCGTCCATGCACTTATGTTGTGTAACAGATCTATAACTCTGACATTAGATGTTCCTTCTGTGGTCGGGATGTCTACATCCAAGTGAAACAGGAGGAAACGTGGACACTGACTTCAACTACATTAGCGGCTGTGGGCTGTTATCTGTACTAATGCTGCAGGTTGTCACTGTTCATGTTCAGCTCTCTCTCCTGCACTGGTCCTCAGCTGTCTGGGAGCTTCCACCCAGCTCCAAAAAAAATAAAAAAATCACAAAAAAAATCAGGTACTTACCTTATACAATAGAACCACTCAAGTATTGGTACTCTAAATTTGTTTTGTAATCATTTTATACTTTTAAATATATCTAAAACCACACAAGGATTCTTCCTGTGTGCAGAGCTGGTTGCGAGTATAGATGCTTTAAAGTCTTGTGTTTTCTTCTTTGTGGCGTTTCTTTCATAACGGGCATTACCTAGAACACTGCTTCTCCACAATGTGGTACAATTCAACGCATGAAAGAAGTGCAGTGTAGTTTCAGTGTTGGACAGTAGTTCTGCTTTCTACACCTAACAGGCACTTGTCTCTGTACGAATCCCAGCGACATGCAGATCTGCATCAGGTACCAATCTGACCTTGTGGTTTAATAAGCATCAGTATCGTTACCACAATCAGCAGTTTGATGATTTGATAATGTGAAAAACTTTAAAAAGCCACAATCACGCCTGTTAATCGACACGATGCTGTGCGCAGCTTATTGCCTGAACTGTCTCGGATCGAATCCCGTTTTAAACTGATGTGTTTTATCGACGGTACTAATTCTGTTGCGATGGAGGCGACAGTCCCGGTGTGCTGCTCTCACCAAGCATTCAGCGGTGAAGCTACCTAACTGACATGCACACGGTACAGAACGGTGTGTTTGAGTGTTTTCTGCCTCGGATTGTTTCAACACGGTCACGATTGTCCTGATGCACAACCCTCTGATGACATTCACATCGAATCATGTGCTTTGAGTGACTTTGCATGAATAAACAGATTTATATTGCAAAACAAAAGAAACGACAAGTGCGTGTTTTGTTGGTAGCAACTTTGGTTTATTTATAAAAGCCACATATTTTATACCTGATTATTCGTCTTTACAGTCTATATTCTCCCTCTGTCATAGTGCAGAATACAGTGTCGTGTGCATATAATGTAAGATGCTTTTTCTTTAATTAGACAAGTGCTGAGAGAACAGGGGGAGGGATGGACTGGTATGGAGGGCTTGTAGGATCCAGCATTAACAGCTAATATCCAGATATTTTCAACGAAAATTTGTGTTTTAATTTGAAGGAAAAAGGAGCACAATCCCACAGATGTGCTATTTGTGGGATGATGCTTCCTTTCTGTTAAATTCATTTTATATTAACGGATGGGACTGATAACACTGGCAGTTTTCAGAGAACATATAAATAGAACCACTGCTAATGCGGCACATGGAGGGAGGCAAACTACTGACATGTTCTAAAAGAAAAAATACTGGAATTCCAAAAGAGGCAGTGTCCGTCTCCTGAGACTGTACAGAAGAATAAGTTGCTTAACATCATTCACTTCAGCTTTGGAGTAACTGCCCTTTTCCTTTTTACCTAAACTTCTCTCACTTCATGTCTACTTTTAATTTCTTTAGCAGCACAGGACTGTAATTGTTAGAGAGAGAGAGAAAAAAAAAACCTGTCAAGTTTGTTAAAAAAATTAATTATTGAGGAAAACCATCCAAAGCATTAGCTTTTCAGTTAAGCTCCTTTTAGGGGAAATCTGCTCCCGTAGAGCAAAGAAACTGGAATGTTATTTACATGTCAGAGTTTAGCCCACGGTTTGTCAATTTAAATCACATCAGAATTATTAACTACATCATTACATGTTTCATAAATAGACACATATACATCTTAAAGAATTACCTTTCAAGTTACGGGAGTCTCTGTCATTTCATACGTCTGTGTAACCTTCAACTAAGCAAGTGTTTTCTTGCGTGGACAATCTTAACTTAAATAAAAGCACCATGCTACTACAAGACATCTTAGTATAATCTCTTATGTGCATGACATTCGGAACATTTCCTACAGATTTTCTTTGTACAGTGGCACCTGTGTGTTTCTGTTTTCGGGATGAAGCACCTTGAAATGCCTTCCTCAGGTGAAATCTAAATAGTGATGCACCGCACAAACATTACACCCAGGCTTTTTTAAGGTTTGGTTAATTTCACAACAGCGGTACCTGCCCCAGACAGAAAAGCAATTATTTTGAAGATCGCATAAATCATGATGTATAATTACAGGGTTTCTATATGTGTTTACAGTAGCTCCCGCTGTAAACGGACAACTTGTCCACATTTCTTTCAGTTCTCGTGCAAAACACTGAAATGTGCAAAGGTTTGACTCACGGAGCGGGCTTTGGTCAGCAAGTTCTGTTTGTTAAAGGTCCGGCGGTCCTCCGGGACATTCAGTCACACTGTTTGGATGAGGTCAGCCCCACCTATGAACTTGTAGTGGATGTTTTCCAAGAAGGGCAGCTGTGATTGGAGGAGGTCCACTGTTGTCGAAGAGATGTTTTTGCACCTTGAGATGTCAAGTGTTCTCAGACGCTTGCAGTGCTGCACCAGGAGGAACAAGGACCTGCGAGTTTCAAGGGCATAAACATTCATGTTTTAGCTGCACATACAGTAGATTTAGTGATGTAGTCTGAAGCTGAAGCCACTGACCTATCGGTGATGTTATTACAACAGGAGAGGTAGAGATGCTGCAGTCTGTGGAGGTACGGTGCAGCCTGCGCTACTCCGCGGTCGCTGATGCCTGGGCAGTGGCTGAGCGCCAGGCTGGTGAGGCTGCGGCAGTGCCAGGCTACGGATGCCAAGCTGGCGTCGGTGATCTCAGGCAGCATGGACAGAGACAGACGGTGGAGATCTGGGTAATGCACCACCTGGGCAGCGGAAAAACAACATAGCATTCAAATATCCTGCATTCCTGCTGCACACTGAAAGACAGGCGTCTCCTCAGCGCCCCCTACCTGTGTGATGCTGCTGTCGGTGAGTTTGGAGCAGGCTGAGAGGTCCAGCTCCTGCAGCCTGTTCAGTGCTAAAAGTGAAGCCCCAGCCTGCTGTTTGAACTGCTCCAGGTCATTCTGCGTCACCAGCTTGGGCCGATCCTCAAAAGGCATACGAGGAGGCTTAAAGAAACCCATGTTGCCGAAGGTTCGGGTGAACCTGGGACCCTTGTCTCCCTGGAAAACAGTAAACAACGACACATTCAACTTAAAATCCATGCAGTGTTTGTTTTTTGCAATGCACATTGAGATCAATATCCCTGTAAATGTGCCAGTGCCAATTATCAACTGCTGTCCTTGGCCAGTTGTTAAAGTAGCCAATAAACCAACCACCCGTAAAATTAGAACACGGGAAACAAACAGCAGCATGTGGGTCTGGAACTCACCGAGTCCTCATCGAGTTCGCAGTTGGTCGTTTGCACCATCCCCAGCAGACCCCAATCCGTGACTTCTTTACACCAGCCGAGCCGCAGAACCACCAGCTTCTGCAGGTAGGTGGCCACGGCTCGCACGGACAGGTCGGTCACGTTGTCGCATGACGTCAGGTCAAGCTCACGGAGAGAATCCCCGAGCAGCTGGGTGAGAGAGAACACTGCAAGGTCCTAAAGAGAAGCAAGAAACAAGTTATTCTCTCTTCCCATTTTTATCCACAAGTGCAGTATAAACCATAGACACCGTTAGCCTCTTTCCACCGATGTGACGAGGGTGTTTGGAGTTGGTTCAACTGACCCTAATGTAAGTGCAGCTTCTGAGGTTGAGTGCGTCCAGCTTTGCTCTGCCAGCGTTGGACCCCTTCAAGCCTTTCACTATCTCCGTTCCATTAATGTGCAGACACTCGGACAGGTCCAGAGTCCTCAGGGACGGCACCGACAGCAGGTCAGCGAGGCCTGTGGACGACACCAAACAATCACTGTGGAGTCAAACGTGTTGTCCAGGAGACGGGATGATGGGGTGAAACCGGATTAACTGATTTCTTTGGCCACATGGGGACAGCATAATGATAAAGATAATGGAAAACTTCATGACATAAATTGCTCCACATTCAATCAGTAGCTACTCAAGGTTCCTACACAACATTTCAAACTTTTCCAGGCTTAAACTTCCAGACTGCTCAGCAGATTTTTCAGATCATATTTTATACTTAAGAGCCAAATGTTTATTATGTAAATAGATTGGTCTAAAGCGCAGCCGTTAATATGATCGTTACACTCTGACTATGGAAGCTGTGACTCATACATCAGTTGATGACAAATCAGATCAATTTACTTTGGTCTTGATGTTCAGATGTGGTGCAGTTATCAGAAGCTTGGGACAGACTTGTTTAGCAGGCTGTGGTGTACAGATGTAGAGGCAGAGGTAGACGTTCAAACATGACATTTATATTTGAGAAAACAGAATAGGAGCAATTGAGTGGAAACACTCATATTTCTCCATACTTTCTTTGGCCACCAGACACATTTATGACCTTTTATGTAGCACCACCATCACGCTAATCCACAAGGTTGGATTTCACTGAACTTGTTGGGATATTTATCGTTTCCTACTATGTTTGAATTGTTTATTAAACCGTTTAGTTTTTGCTCGAGCACCAGCATGAGGCAAACTTTGGAACACAAAAATATTCACTAAATCTGTTCATTTTGGACTCCGTGAGCTCCAGAAGACTGATGGCAGCGACGTTTGCTGGACACATTCATCATCCCAGCAGGATAAAGAACTTAGTTTTTAATGCACACATGGTCTCTTCACCAGCACCCTCATGAAGACTAAAACATTTTAGCCAACAACAATGAATGTTGTGGAGTGGCTTCTGTTAACTACTAGCAAGGCACTAGACCCCCCCTAACAAATATTAAATACTTCCAGGGTACCTTTTTCAGTGATCCTCCAGTCGCGGGACAAGGACAGTTGTGTCAGGGACTTCAGGCCCTTTGATATGGCCTCGACAGACCTGCTGGTCAGCTCAGTGCAGCCACTGATGTCCAGCTTGTGGAGGCTCGGCTGATGCTTCACCAGAATTTCCACTGAGTAGTCTGTCAGCTCCTTACAGCCGTGCAGAAACAGTTCCTTTAAGACCAAATCTGGAACCTGGAACAAAGAGAATATCAAGGATATTAAAAGGACTGAAAATCTGCAGCATGCATCTTGAATCATAGCCAGTATAAATGAATCGTGTTTTTGTATGAAGCAATAAATATGTGCCGAGTTGAGCTGTTTCTGGTGAATCATTCAGCTGTGCTCAAGCAGAAAAGTATTTTCTGCCCAGTCCTGACCTGTGCGATGGTGCGCAGTGACTCAGGAGTGATGGAGGTTCTGCTGAGGTCGAGAGCTACGAGGGTGGATTTCTGCTCTGTTAACAATCTCCTCAAGTTCCTCAGTGACAGCAGCGCTGAAGAGTCCTCGACGGCTCCCACCGGGCACCCTCGGTACGGGTCAAACTCAAAGGCGATGTGGCAGCCGGCCAGCGAGAGCCGGCGGAGGCGTGGGGTGCAGCCGGTGAGCCGATTGAAGGTGAGGTCAGAGAGGTAGCGCAGGTCGGACAGGTCCAGCTCCTCCAGACCACACAGAGCTGACCTGACCTAAAAAACAGGAGTATGGAGTTTGAACTGGAATGGAACCATTACTACCGGTGGAAAAACAATAAAACCATGCAAACGCAGTAAAATAACAGTAAAATATGCACTGTAGAGGGTTAATGTAATACTGGGGAGAGTTTCCATCAGTCACCTCGCCTTCATTTCATAATTTAACGTCTTTTTATCTTGATTATTTTTTTCTCACAGCAAATATTAAACTTGCAATACAAGATACTGAGCATCAACAGGAAGTACAGACACTTCTAGTTCTAATTAACTGATTATGTGCAAATCTATCTGGTATCTCTGTGTCTCGTTAGGTGTCTCTCTGTCCAACTTTTATTGATATTTATGTTGAATTAATATAATAAAGCAGTTCTCAAGATAGCGCTTCAAATTCAGAGTAAATCCTGCGTTAGCCTCGTTGTGATTATCTCACTAACGAGCTGTTACCTGATACCTCAGCTGCCTCTGCTGCTGCTACTACTTTAACATTATGCAGGTTAGTTTATCATTTTGCTCCACTTTGCAGCACATTTTCAGTAAAGTTCAATAATTTCTACATTTCTGTGGTAGAGGAAAATCTAACACTGCTGTTAAATAAATTGTTAGCAGATATGTAGTCATTCTGATTCTGTAGGGAAGAATACATCTCTTATACTCTCAGGTTGCAGGCCTGCTTTGGCCAAGTTTTATTGTTAACCCTTCATTCAGCCACAGGTGTTCGATCTGGAAACGGACTGTGAAGATGATAAATGATAAAGAAAGCTGCATCCTGGAAGCAGAGAGGTTGAGCTCTTCAGGTGTGTTACGTATGAATCTGTGCTAATCCATTGTGTTGACTATGTTTTTTATTCATGATGTGTCTTACAGGATTTAAAAAAAAAAAGACCATATGGACTTGTTAATGAAGTTAAAAAAACCTAACGGCCGATCAATGGCCACCATCCCGCTTTAACATATGGCATTATACCTGCTGTCGGTGCTCCTCTCTGGAGAGAAAAGCTCCAGACATGAAGAGACTGTCCAGGCCCCTGAGGTCCAACCTGCGAAGGGAGGTCAGGCGAGGGAGGAGGGTCAGCAGAGAGGCCTCCGTTATGCTGCTTCCAGGCAGGGCCAAGCTCTCCACTTTAGGGCCCAGACACAGACCCACCTGAGGAGGAAGAGGCACAGAAAGGGGAAGCAGAGACAGTCAGAAAGAGGAACTTCTAAGAATTCAAAGAGAAGAGAAAGAAACAGGTAGGAGCAGAGCAAATGCAGGAGAAGTGCTACAAAAATAAATAAAACTGTTTTAATAAATACGGATGAAAAGGGAGGAAAAACTAAGAGAGGGCAGCTCTGATTCATTCACTCCCTGCTACCTCGTATGTTCAGTGGGTGTGACGGTTGTATTATCACAAAAATTCCAGCATTGTCAACACTGGCAGATTAGACTTTGTACTGATCTTTAAAAGGCAGCGGTTGAGGATTTATGACTTGACAGCGTACAATATGTGCCATGGAAAATTCAGCACTTTAGACCAACAGGCAACACATTACTGTGACAAGAGTCAACTAGAGTGGATTTAAAGCAACACTAAACTTTGGACGTGCTGCATCCTGGTCAGTGGGACAGGAAATTAAATCACCACTCAGGACAATATCAATTTAAAAAAACATTTAAAATGTTAGTCTTTTGTCATTACAGATGTCTTTTCTTGCCTGATGGTGTTTTTGAGTTGAATAAAACCCATTCAACATCAGTCTGCTCAACAGGTTTTGTTTTTTTCTTAAAAGTGTCTTCATGAGCCCTGGAGGGAGGAAAATCCTCTAAACCAGCCACGAGGCGTGTGATCACTTCTTTGTGGGTTGTTTTTGTGAGTTTGTGTGGAAACACACTAAACAAAATCTTCACATGACTGCAGTAATATCCTTTTTGTGATGGTAACAGCTGTTTCAGAAAGGCGGTGAGACAACACTGAATACCAGGAACATGGACATCATCAGTTATGAAAAGGCTTTAACAGTGTGTCAGACAGAATACGGCACCTCCAGCAGCAGCGATCTGGAAATGCTGAAGCCATCGAGCTGGCTGATTATCAGGCTGCAGCGGGACTTCCTGCCCAGGCCCCTGACCAGCTCCAGGGACGAGGCCGAAGCCGGGAAGCAGAAGGTGACGTTCTTCTGTGGAAGCAGAAAAACTGACGGTAACACCTGGCTGCCCTCAAGCGCTCATGCACACTCAATCACCTTTCAGTCATTTTATTAAGCAAATTTATTCAGTGAGGCTCTGCTCAGGAGCAAACTACCTGAAAGCGCTGGTCCTGGCTGGCGTAGTACCAGCTGCGGCATACCAGCGAGGCCTCCTTCCTGTCTGAAGGGTGAAGAAATCTAAGGATGTAAACTATGATCTACAGCAGGGGACAAGAAATACAGCATTAGATTACACTGAAGGTCCTGGAAGAGATAAATCCACCCCCACCTGAGAGCATGTTATCAACTCACATGACAGCATGCTGCATGGCAGAATGAAAACCTGACATCAGAGCAGCACAGTATCACACAACCAGGACTTGTTTACCAGCAACAACCTGTGACTGTTTCTGTGTTTGTGTGGACATGCAAATAAATATGAATGATTGAACTCACCTCCAGGGGCAGCTCAGGTGTTTCAACAATGTCCTCTCCATCGCTGTCTTCCATCTCAGCTTCTTCTTCGTGATTAAAACAGACCCTCAGACCATCTCAGGTGACTCAGCTAGCCATCTTCTAGCTAGCAACACAAGTTAAACTTTAGCATTTAGGCTAATAGCGACTAAGTGCAGAAAAACCGTTAACTCGTCTCGTTCATTTTCGCGAGCTTTGTCGATAAAATTATCAGATTTCCGTCAGTGGAAGAAAGTAAAAAGCTGTGTTGTCAGAAAAAAATAAAAATAATTTAAAAAAGCTACTTCACAGTGTCGCGGATCAGCGTCTCTGTACATCTCCAACGGCTGTCTGACTTCTGTGGGATCAGCTGACCGCAGAAGAAGAAGAGATGCGCGTTTCCGCCGAGAGGGGGGCGGGGCATTGTGGGAAATGTGGTCCGACCACCTCCTCCGGCTGCGCTTGTTTGCCTGCCGTACTTTTTCCAACGTGACCTGCACAGTCGGATCGCTTTGACTCATTTTGTGGTTTGGGTTTTACGCCTTCGCTACTTGGCCTAAATAAATGCAGAACTTAATTCCCTTCATGTCTGCTCACTAGAAACTGCAAAGTTCTGCATGAAACTAGCAAGAAGGAGGATAATGACATTTAAATCAAAGGATATCACTGCAAATTACTTATATATCTGTAGGGTTCTTACTAGTACTTTTTCCACACAGTAAAAATACTCGTAAAGTCAAGAAAATGTTCATAAAATGTTAAAACAAATGCATGAAAAATTATCAAATTAGTTGACAATTAGTTTCTGGTAATTAATTGTTTCAGCAGCTTTTGAATATAGCATACTATTGATTAGCTTCATTTACAGCTGTCAGAACTGCTCACTCGGTTCCTCAGTTTAAAAGGCTTTGAAAAACACACATGTATACACCAGCATGTTTATAATTTTTTATGCCTGGTTATTGGTCTTTTTGAGACTGCAGTGTTTTTACTGATGTTTTATCTCTTTCACTGTTTTATGTAATGTTTTTTTTGTATTTTAATGCTTTGTGAAACACATTGTAACCCTGTTTTGAAAGGTGCTATAGAAATAAAGTCTATTATTATTATTATTATTATTATTATTATTATTATTATTATTATTATTATTATTATTAATAACAATAATAATAAATATGCCTGATTTTGTCACTGTTTATTTAAAAAAACTTGAATTTTAAAGTCACCGGAGCTCTTGTTATTGTTTCCCCCAACTCAAGCTTTTTAATTTCTACTCAGTAAGAAGTGGAAAGCTTCCCATGAAATTAACAATAAGTTGAAAGCTGGAAGACAATGGCATTGAAATGAAAGGATGTCGTTGAATATTCATTCCTTCAATACTACAGTGGTGAAGGAAGTGTTCAGGTTTTAAAATAAGATCATAGAACTTGTACCACACTGCAAACTACTCACATGCAAGTGAAAGTGCTGCATTGAAAATGTTGTTTAAGTAAAGTCACAAAAATGTGCATAAAATGGTTAAAGAACTACATGCAGAAATAACATCTACACATTTGAGAAAGTGGAGCCATGAAATGTTTTTCATCACTTCATGAAAAATTCCTTTAAAATGATCAAAATAGCTTCCAAATGTTTTTTTGTTTTTTTAAAAATATTAAATATTTTGTCAATGAAACTAATGGTTTCGGTAGTATTTTGTGTTGGGAAACTTTATTTATAGCAAAATGTCAAATTTTACTGTCTCTTATTTGCAAAAGTCTTACATTTTAAAGTAACTCGCTTTGCCAGGTGAATGTTTCACAGTTAAAAGTACAAACACTTTCCTTTTAAAAGACAATGAAGTCGAACGAGGAAGTTTCATGAAGTAATAACAAAAAGCACAAGGAAACTACAAACTGGTCCGGTGTGGTTTTAAAGAACAATGATCTGACAGTGTGACCAGACACTCATATGACCAGTGACTGTAAAAGGCAGCTTAAAATGCAGCTTTATTCAATCAAATGACACGATGTCACAGACAGTAAGAGAAACACAAGAACAGGCTGTTCCGTATAAAAATATTAAATTACAAGTAAAGTCCTGAAAATGATGTAATAGTACAACCAGGGAAACGTGATTAAGTATTGATATACTGCATGCAGAAATGGTCCTTTAATTTGTGCATATTATGAGATTAAATTATCATAACGCATATTAACATAAAGTCAGGATGTTGCCACTGTAGCTGCTCGGGGTAAGCTGAGGTAAGAAGACAAGCTTGTGGTTACTGTGCCCCACATTCTACCAAACATAAGCTGACCTTATTGAAACAGTTGAAATGTTTCTTACGTTTATTTGTGGCTCTTACTTAGATTTAGACTGACTTTATTAATTCCAGAGGGAAATTCAGAATATTAGGGTAGGGTATAAAATGGAGGTAAAATAAAATAAAATAAGATTTAAAAAATATAGAAAATATAATATAGAAGAAAGTCAACAAAATGTACAAGAAATATAGGAGCCTGTGTGTATGGGGATTTGTTGTCATCATTTTGGGGGTTTGTAAAGATTATAAACAACCCAGAGCTTAATGTGACGCCCTCACACTGCTTCTTTTGTTCACCCAACAGCGGAAATTTGCTCAATTGTTAAAAATGAATAAAAACTACTGACATAACTGTCAAGAAGAGGTGCAGCCATGAAATGTGGGAGTCTTTCCATTAAAAATGACAAACACTTATTGAAATAGTTGCCACAATAATTTCCTCTTAATTATCATAGAGGTAAAAGTACAGTATTTTCCATTCCTGAAATAAAGTTGAGTAGAAATGGAAAATTTCCTGAAAGGATGATACAAGTACAAGTACCTCAAATGTGTGTTTAGGCACAGTATTTGAGTAATTGCTGTTCCAACATATTGAAACTGAAGAGAATACACTGGTCGGGTCTATCTATAGATAAATAAAGAGAATAGCACTGACTGTGGCTAGCTTCCTAAATCAGCGACTAAATTATAGTTTAAATTACCTCAGCATGTTCGTACGCCTCCGCCACCAGTCAGGCTGCAGTTTCTCCTTCTGTTCAGAGCTGTGCTGTTGAATTATGGCCGGGAAAGTGTTTTTTTGCAGAACATAATGACGTTAGAGTGAAGTTGACACCTGACCTTTTTAGGTATAGTTGTTATCACTTCACTATTTTATCCTACAAAACATGAGCTGCGGCAACAAAAGAAGAAGAAAAAAAGTGTGTCTTTGTGACCTTGATTCACTGTAGGTGTTACTGAGATATCATGTTTATGGGAATTGTTGAGGCATAATGAGAACAGCTGGCTGGAGGCCCGTTTGTTGTGTTGCTTCCTGCTCAAGCTTTTGCCGTTTTGGTTTGTGGTTTTACCTCTTCAGTCAGTCGTGTTGTTTGTCACTTTGGTTTTGTTCCATCCTGAAACCAGGTCATGGAAACATAACGGAGGTTAAAACGTGCTGAAAACAGTTATTTATTCAAAGAAAATTCACAAAGGACGGGGCTACATCGGTGGTAAATTCATCCATGTCGTAGCGCTGTCCGTACAGAAGAAACGGATTCCTTTCTACAGATTGTCTGGCAGTGTGGTTAGCTGGTTTATGGGCCTATCCTCTGAGGCTGCAATAATCAATACATATATATAAATATATATACAAATAGGATATATCTCACATTATTACATCATTAGCACAACAAATTAAACATTTAGCATTTCTACAATCCTTGTACATCTTATTACAGTGCAAACAACACAGAGCTTTTACATTAGTGAGAAAATGAGCTTGATCTAAATAAAAAAGCAAACAAATATATTTACAGTATTGTACAAAATAAGCATAAAAGAAAGCATAAAAACATCAACAGTACGTAAAACACCTCAGATGATGTTAGAGTTGCTATCATGCACTGACCCGTCCACATGTACCTGTGATAGGAGCATAGATGATGGTGGTACAACCTGAACTAGTCCACACCTTCACTAGGTCTGTTTGTTTTTGTAAAAACATCAGCAGTCGCAGGCTACTCACACCGACACAACACAAAGTCAAAAATATAAGGCATATTGCGCTTTCAAGTTTACAAAAGAATCCGTAAACACGTAGTAAACAACAACAGCAAAAACATTTCTTGTCATTTTTTTTTTGCGGAGCGACAAAGGTTCAGTTCTGTAGAAGTGTGAGTTGACTATCAGAAATGACTCATCACAGCTACAGTGAGGTCAGGGATGCAGACTCAGTGTAGGTGATGAAGACGTGCTTGGATTTCAAAGAGGTAATCAGATGAGGAAACATTTCCCTCTGCAACAGATGAACTATGATGACATAAAGGTGACTCCAGTGGGTCGAGATTAAAAGAGAAACTGTACAAAGAATCTGGAGTTGTACTTTCCAGTGGCCCAGTTTGAAAAATCTGATATATGACTGCACAGCATACTGTGGGCTATAACACAGGGAAGTTCAAATTTACAGGGTTTGTACATCTCCATTTACAACACCTCCTCTGTATTTTCATTCATTGTCCCTAACAGCTGACTTTATGTCCTTCTTCGTCTTCATCTTCCCCTATTTCAGGTTAAAGCACAGATGCATGTCCTCAGTTTTTCCCCCACAGTTTTCTGTTTTCCTTCTCCAACAGCTTCTCTTCCCTCGTCACACAGAAAAAACAAAAAAATCACAGCTTCTTTTCTTTCTTCTTTCCACCCTCATTCCCTTCATCCTCGCTGACATCCTCCTTTTCGATGGCGTCGCTGTGGCTCAGCGTCGCAGGCGGAGGCATCGTAGAGTTGCGGCAACGAGAGGCCGAGCGAAATGTCGCAGAGACGGGTGATGGAGTGTCCCCGTCTCTGTCGGGTCCGGAGCTGGAGGCGGGTGACGGAGGAGGCAGGGAGGAGGAGAGGGAAGGCTGACGAAAAGGAGAGAACACGAATCAAACTGCTACCTAAAGTACACTTATGTTTCTTTGCTTGGCTCAAGTTTTGGTTATGTTTACCTGTAGTGAGATACTGGACTTGTTGGTCTTCTCTTTGACTTTAGCCAGAGCTCCTTTCAGTCCAGAAGATCTCTCAGTCATCTCCAGCGCTGCTCTCAGTAGTTTGGGAGTCTCCGGCCTGACCGGGGCGGCCGGTACCGGAGGAGCCTCCTTGGTCTCTTCTTTGGGTTCAGGTTTCTTTCCCTTGTTAAGCATCTTCCTGTGGTTGAAACAGCAATGACCAGATTAACAAATACTGCAATAAGTAAATACATGAAGGAAATGGTGACGGTGGCTGACTATAAAAAAATACTTTAGAAAGTCAAGCTGCACTAATTAAACACAGACCGAGCAGAAAGTACAATGATGGCTGTAGTAATCAGTGCTGTTGGTTTAAGATAGTGATAAAGTGTGATTTCAGTTCATGTCTAACCTGGCTTTCTTGCGGAGCAGTTTCTTGGACTCGGGGTAGTGCACCAGGATCTCGTTCAGGTCTTTTTTGTCCAGGATGAATAGATTGGCGAAGCCGTGAGCGATCACGTTGGCTGTGCGCCTGTTGCCTCCGCCGACTGCAAGCAAACTGCCAATAAAACAACAATATGGTTAAAAATAGCACTTTACACCACATTTCACATTCAAAGTCCCTCTCTGGTGTGGATTAAACATTGAAACACTAATTCCTGGGGCCCTGGTAGCTCAACTGGTTGAACAGGCGACCCATAAACAGGGGCTATAGATCGAGTCCGACCCACCGCCCCAGTGTTAACCTTTAACTGCTTTTCAACATTGAATCTTGGTCAATATCACACTACAAGCTGCCGTTCTCTTGTCTTATCTTGTCTCTTGATTTCATCATGCTGTATATATTTTACCTTCTACCTCTAGAAGCCTTCCAGGGCCTCCTGCCAACAAGCATCCCCACATAATGATGCTGCCGCCACCATGCTTCATGATGGCATGTTTGTGACGATGTGTAGTGTTTGGTGTCTGTCTAGTGTGATGTCCAAAAAATTCAGTTTCAGTCTCATTTGACTAAAGAACCTTCTTCCAGTTGTGACCACTTTTTATTGTTTGTCTGTTTCATGAGCTGCACATCTATTAGAGGCCAGATACTGTCAGCTATTTTGTGTTTGTGAACGCACTACAAGTTTCAAGACTTACAAAGAGATTCAGTTCTATTGTGAAAAGTCTGGAACTTATCCATAAAACACATTTCAGGGACATTTTCCTCATTCCACACCATCTGTTTACCTGATTTCTCCAAACACTGATCCTGCTCTGAGAGTGACAAACACCGTCTTCCCATCCGGTCCTCCAACCACCTGCACTTCCCCGGCCTTTATGATGTACATCTCCCGACCTACTTCGTCCTGAGCGATACGAAACCAGAGGCACATGATGGGAAACAGAGAGGAAGCAAACACACAAAAAGAAAATTTTGCTCCGTACCGATGACTCACACAAACAAAGCAGACAAACAGGCTGATTTACCTTTTTGCAGACGTAATCTCCTGGCAGGTAGACGACAGAGCGCAGGCTTTTCAGCATGTCAAAAATCATCTGTCTGTCACAACCCTGTCACAAAGGAGGACAAATAATTGTCTTTTTAACCTACACTTAATGATGTCTGGTGTAGCTCAACATGCGACAAGTAAATGACTTTCTGCTCTTTATCATGCATACTACGCTGTTGTTTTCAGGTTTGTGAAGGAATTCCTACCTGAAAAAGAGGCACCTTGCTCACAATGGAGTAGTTGACATCTATCGCTATGTCCAGACGCATTTTATCCGGCAGCTGAGTCAGCAGCTCCTGTTCATCTGGATGGCAGACAGCAAACAGATAAACATGACTAAAAGGTCTCATGTGGACATGTAAGTATGCACATGTAGTTGTCATCCTTACCCAGCATGCCTTGTGATTGCCAGGTGTAGTTGTACCAGGTTTTGACTCGGTTCTGCACATCTTTGGGGATGCGATAGGAGGACATGTATTTAATAGTGTTGTCCATGCAGGTGCGGTAGTAGGTCTGACCCGCTGTGGCTGCACCGACCACATCACGCATCTGAAAAATACAAAACCACTTAATCGATGTTCTTATTAGCGTGAAGGACACATGTCTCCAATATACTTCTCTACATACTTGTCCAATCATAATGGAGAAGGCAAAAACTCCAACAAAGTAGTTGATGAGTTGGAAGATGATCTCAAACAGGGTGGTGGGATCTGGCAGACCCCCGATGGTGATCAGGGTCTTCACCGCAAAGTAGTAACAGCGGATGTAGCTGTGCAGAGAGACGGAAATGAGCCATCGGGTGGGAGTTCTAAATAAAGTAGGTTAAAGAAGCTAAATGTCCAACCGACCTGTTTCCCTCGCCATTATACACCCACTTAGTCGATCCCAGGCCTTTGAAAGCGGAGCCCCAGTAGTAGAGACAGGCGTTGCAGTGGAGACAGTAAAGAAGATATGTGGTGGTTCGTATCACCCTGAGAGACAGAGAAATAAACTGACGATCTAAGACCAGGTATTTGTCCAGCTGTGTCACTACAGGCATTTCTGTCTCGTTAAGCTTTAGCAGGAAGAGAGGCAACCCAGTGAGCAACGTTTAGATCTTTGTGGTTGCCGCCACGACTGTCCTAGTGTGTAATAAAAGAGAAAACCATAAACCAACACACAGACACCATCAGTGGGCAGCTGACCTGTAAATGTAGGCTTTGGTCAGGATGGCCTCGAGACGCTCGTTGAACTCAAAGAAAGAGTTGATCTGTGAAAGTATGGATAAAGAACAGAAAAAATGTTTGGTTTCAGAATTAGTTATCAGACATTTAAAACTGAGATATTTCAATTAGTGGAAGCTGATCTCCAAAACTGAATTTGACTTTTCATTACTGTGGTGCCATTTAATGCTGATATAATATTTGATATTATCAGTGCTACACGGTTGTATGTGTTTGGGTAATTTAAAGGAAGCAAGTATTCTTAACGTTGGTTGCCAGAATGTTTACACTCTAAAAGACGTGAATGCTTTTATGGAGGAAAATGGAGGAATGTGCAGCGACAGAGTCTCACCTTCAGCAGCCTGGGTAAGCGAAGCAGAGGGTTGATGCCAGTTTTAAAATAGAAAAGCTCCAGGGGAACAAGGCTGGCTACGTCAAACTGGAAAACAACAAGATATTTCCTCATTTTAGTGTTTTGTTCCACAATAAGTACACACGAAAAGGCAGAATACACTCAAACTTGGATTTGGACACACTTCTCTTATTATTTACCTTGAAGCGTCTGGTTTTCATGTAATTCTTTCTCATGTCTTTTTTGTCACACTGTAAAGAAAACAGAACAACTACAGTCATGAACAACGACCGGTTAATTCCACAGACAGTATATAAAAGATGGACATGGCCTGCAGGGCTGAAAAGTGAAGCTCGCGTCAAAGTGCATTCTTTCTACAGGCCAGCAGGGGGCGAATGATTGTACGCAGGGCTATTAGAAAAGGACCAAACTTCTCAGTGGATCTGTTGCCTCAGTAAACATTTTCCTAATGAGTTTAAGGTTTCAATCGCTAGTTTGAAGTCTCCTTCAATTACAGTATGATGTCCATTTTGTAAATTATGGCTCCATTCAGGGTAAAATGCACAATAAAGCAAGGTAACGTTTAAGCAGGCGCTTCCTTGTAAACGACAAGCTGCTTGTCCTTGAGATCTAAACTACATCCAAGCCTCATTTGTCACGTCTTGTTTCAAAAGAGCAAGATGGCGGCGGGCTAAAGCTAATCTTGAGGCTTCAAAACATGAGTTCATAAACCAGTGGGTAACAGTTGTTTCTTCCATCTTTTATAGACAATCATAGGTCTATTATTGTGTCTTTGCTTGTTAAATGTGTGCATATTTCATCTTAATGTACACAATCATATTGTAATGTCACTCCTCATTATAAAACTGGTTTATTTGATATTTTAGAAGTCAGTGTTACTGGCAGAAGAACTGCTGTGATCCCAGACAACGGTACAGTTCTAGCAACGGCCTCTACTCACCACTATGTCCCCTCCTCGCACAAACTGCAGGCGAGGCTGAAAAATGGTGATGTCCAGGATGTAGATGAGGTCGCACAGGTAGTCGGTCAACAGCCAGTAGTAAATATTGTCTGGGGTTTGGTAGGGGAAGGCCCAGCGGACCGGGATGAACCACACGTTCCAGTTCCAGGCCAGAGACACCAGAAACATCCACAGCACGTACATTAAGTCTGATAAGAAAAGGGATGGACGAAAGGATGGAAGTGACAGAGAAACAGAGCGATTAAACAACAGGAGAGCTGACAGAGATGTCATCAGGAGAGAATGGAGTCATCGGTATTCACAGAACAAGCGATGGTCACGAAGCAAACGGCCATCATACTACAGGCTGATGGGAGTAACAGCACATCAAACAGGCAGGGTCAAGCTCTATTCTCAAGCAGAAGTGGCATTATTTGGAACCTGTTTCAGAGCTAAATGAGAAAGAATGGCAACAACAGGAAACTGACCTTCTTGTAAATGTGAAAGTAAGAGAAAAATAAAGGGTAAACAGCAGATGATCAGGAGACAGGTGTCTGGACAGCAAAAGGATGAAACACTTAATTCACCTTTACCCAAACTTCATGAGCATTGAACACCTCAGTGAATTTGTTTTTAAAAGATGTGTTGCTCAAGTCAAAGTCAGAGCTTTTTCTTGGTCAGGACCGTGAATTCTGGGTGTCATTTGTTTCTGAGCAGTTTGGGTAAAGGCGTGTTCTACTGCACAGCACAGCAGCGGGTTGCGTTTTCGGCTGGGTTCTCACTGGTGAAAGGGTCGATGCTGGCAGGGAAGCGGAAGTGCATACAGGCTTGTATCCAACGAGGAGTTTTCACCTTGCGGCCGTGGTTAGACTGCTCCTCCTCGGCCCCACTCTCCATCCTTTCTCCTCCTTCTCCGTTTGATGGACCTGCTTCCATCTCTTTCTCGTCCCCGTCCGGTGGAGGAGCTGCCGGAGCAGGCTGAGGAGCTGGGGCCTGAGGAGGAGCTGAGGAGAGGACAGACGGGAAGGGAGGAAACATTAGATGACGACACAGGACAGATTTTAGAGGCACAAAGGTTCACATTTACTTAATAAGAAGTACAGTTATAAAGTTTGATTATTAAGATGGCAAAGGCGTCTTAGTAGATTGCTGTTTACTAATAAGCAAATCTTTATCTTTAGGCAGCTTAATCCTACTGAATCTGGAACATACACTGAAAATGTTGCAGGACAAGGGAATGTGCAGAGTTTCAACCTTCCACCTGTAGCCCATAGTTTTATAAAAAGAAATCCTAAACACTCTCTGAATACCTGCTGACTGCTGCAGCCAAGACAGAGCAGAGCTGAGCACAACTAAAAGAGGAAAAAGTGAAGCAGAACAGACACAAAATGATCCAATCAAGAGAATATTCATTAAAAGAGTGTCTCATCCAGCAAGTCTAATGTTCCAATAAACACTGCAGACCACACGTTCCTTTTTTAAGACTACGGCGTTGATTTTGTCTTGAACACATCCCCATCTTGGATCTGCTCCGTCCACCTTCTCTTCAACTAACTATCTACTATTGTACTAGAATTCATTAGAATTTGCAGCTAGAAGCAGCCTTGCCCAAAAAAAACAAACTTCATATTCTGATCTAAAACAGTGACTTCCAAACATTTTAAGGCACAGCACCTCTTCAGTGAGAGCGTACCTGCAAAGCTCACTGGGTGTAGCGTTCCTGGCTTGTTGATATGTTTGTCATTGATAAGCTGAAGTACAGTTGATTGATAAAAATACTTTTATTATGCAAATATCTCCCAGTTTTGTTTATATGGAAATAAGGATGTTAGGAATGTAATGTCAAGACGTCAATCCCTTTGTCCATTCATAAGGCACCTACTTCGGGAGCCACTTAACTAAATTGTCTTAGGATGCCTTTGTGGGACTAGACAGGGATTGGTGTCAGTCTGTAAAGGTAACGATGTTGTATGTCTGCATCTGCCAGCGGGTCATCATGACACACACTACAGAAGAGACCTGATCATCTCTGCAATTAGGGGGAAATATTATGTGCATATTGGAAAAAAATGGTCTATCCGATATCTGCAAAATCCTTTGACTAAAGCATTCATGGAGGGTTGAATGAGGGACGCTGCTGGGTGAAGGAGGGGAGGGAGGCAGCCTGGATAGAAGCAGCAGCTGCTTCTACTCACCTGTGAGTGACTGTCAGTGGGCGGTTTCAGGTTTAAGATTTTTGTGTCTATAGATCAATCCAATGTTTGGGTATAAGCGGTCGGTTTCCCAGCTGGGCAAAGCGGACTCTTTCAACCTGGAATCAAAATGTACTGTAACACCTTCCCACAGGTGATGCCATCTAATCAAGCTACTGCATGTTTTCAACTTCTCATGTTTGTTTGTTCATCAGCTGAGAGTGTGTGGATGGATGAAAGAGAAAGAGACTCTCATCACTCACAGGTGATGACGCTGTCTTCATCTGAGCTGTCTGTGTCAATGAGCTTCTCTTTCGCCTTCTCTGTTCTCTCCTTAAACATCCTGACGAGCTCCTGAAGTCGCTCGTTCACCACCGTGCTGGTCTGGCTGGCCGACGACGCTGGACGCTCCTTCAGACTTGGAAACAAAGCGAGAAAAAATATCAAATGCTTGATTTTTATTATCAATGTAAGGAGACTGTATTTAACATCATTCACTGTGTGTTCAGGTGTGTGTGTGTGTGTGTGTGTGTGTGTGTGTGTGTGTGTGTGTGTGTGTGCAGCGCTCACATGTCATCTGTGCTGTGCAGGCTGGACTGACTGGGCCAAGCTCTGACAGGGACGCTTCCTTCATCATCATCATCTTCACTCTGAGACTGCAGCCGCTTGCTGTTGGAGTTAAGTAGTCACAGCGACAGCGTTGGTTCAACTTTACGACAACGCTGCCTCAGTTAGATTTCTGTTTCTCAAATGCAATGTGATGCAGCTTCACTTTACATGATGCTGAGTCAAACAATGAACTGAGTTGTGCATAAATGACGCTGCTTGTTGCATTTTGTGCTTAATCTGAACTTATTCCTGTGATGATTGCAGATGAGTAAAAACTGAAAATGATTTTTGAATGAGCAAAGACTGGTTCCTTCAGATGGGAAATGGATTAATGAACAGTGATACAATATGAGGATGCACAATAAGTGGATGAAGAAGTAGATGGACACCGATAAGGACGGGATCTCTTACATCTTTGTCCAGATAGTCCTACGGTTCCTCCCACTACTGTCGTGAACGGTTCAGAGCAGGGTTTCAAGTCAGTTTTAAAAGAGAGGGACGGGGGGAGAGAGAAGGTTTGTGTGTGTTGCAAACTGGAAAAACATGACGTAAATCCAAGAAACAGATAACAGGGAAGGAACAAGTCACCTACAGCGCTTTAACAAGGTAGTGAGGATGCCAGTGCAAGATTGTGATGCATTCGTTTATTGACTTTTTGCTACGACCACACAGTAGCCAAAAGCACAGAGCCATGCAAAAGTGGACAGAACAACACAACATCACAAGAAGAAGAAACACTCGACATCTTTCCAAATGACTTGAGCTCCACAACAATCCAAACTGTGTTCTGCATAAACATTTTGTGCTGGTTTGCGTTTGTGCGCCATTTTAGCAGCTCTTTGGGAGGTTTTTGTGCAGAAAAGAAAAGAAAGGAATCTCAGATTTTCCAAAGAAACTTTGGAAAAAAACTTTCTTTCACACCCACAGTTTCTGCAGGACACTTAAATACAGACCACAGTGCTTCTACTGACTCTGGAAGGAGTGCACAGCAGTAAGATGGACAGTAGAGGGCAGTGAAGTAAATGTGAAACAGCATGGAGACAGTGTGAAGCATTTTATTCCAAAACCTTAAATTACATAATTCTGTTGCTGAAATTTGCAGATTTCATGAGATGCAATTGCAAGTTTACATATTTTGTCACCTAAATATTAGATTTTTATCCTCTTTTGGATCAAAATGCTTCACCAGTAAACAGAGACGCTAGCACCTTGACAGAGACATCGCAGTGATGCTACTTTTCATTCCTGTGTAACCAAATGTGTTGCCATGAATGATTCAAATACACATCTATAGTTTCACTGGTGAAACTGGTCGCTGTCGAGAGAGAACGAAAAGCACAGAGCCCCTGGGAGGCAACTACAACTTGAACAGTCTATGCAGTTTTCTTACTCTTTATCCCCTTTACTGTAAACGCAAGGCATAAAGGGAGAGGAAAAAAAGATTAGAAATGTTTTAGTGTGCATTCAGGTAAAGTGGGAGCTTGAATTTCAGCATAAAACACACATTACTTTAATTATAGTTTTTTATTTTGTTTTGTTTTTTGTTAACGGTCACACAAAAAGCCAGACCAGAGTAAAAATGTTCACAATCGTGAATTAGTTAGTTAATCGGTTGCTTGTGCGGCTGTATCTCACCTCTGGCGGCCTCCTGATGGGGCCACAGGGACAGTGAGGGTTGTGAGTTTGGGGTCCTGGGAGTTGAGGATCGTCTCCTCCCCTCTTCCTCCTCCTGCTCCGCTTCCTTTCTCATGATCTGAGTCGACATCCTCCACATTGACAGCTGGACGGAGGCTGAGGCTGGAGCTCTCTGGAGAGTTTGACACATATTATTTAGTCCCATGCATCAAGAATTCTGGCCCGCACGCAATATTGACGCAAAACAACATCAAGCCCACTTGCAATAATATGAACCTGTGAGGCAGTGCAAAGGGCAAAACAGCTACAGGCAGGACAGGACAGGAGAGAGGCTGATTTAGTGGGAGCCCAGCCGGCTTAATGCAAGATGATCCAACTATGAACTAGGACATGTGCCCTGATAGCTGTAGCTTACTTGTTCAAGCTGGCTTATGTGGCTCATGATACCCTGGCACACTTCAGCGTCCTCACAAGGTGTCAACAGTCAGTTGCTGCCTCTGTGAACTGGTTTGTCCACGTTTTATGAAAGCTGTAAGGATCTGAATCTGTCCATGTGCACTTCTGTGTCTTCCCTGACTATCTTCTAAACCCTTACAGACTAAAGGTGAAGCTAACTGACTCCTTACATGAGCTTATTCGAGAAATGACAAAACGTGACAACACACAAAAGTCCACAATCACAACACAAAGCAACTACTGTGCTGAACTCAAACATCATTCAGTGCTTGAAAATTTCCTCTTTCTTTTTTAATATCTAATAAAATGCACTGCCAACCACCTGCCAATTTAGTTTAACAGTTTACCAAACATGACTGAGTTCAGGTACGGACAAGGAGTGCCATAATGGAAGAAAGTTAACTCTCCACTAGTGTGGATTCACCTGCAGGCCTTATTTCAGAGTCGTCTTCAATGAAGAATGCGGGGTTAGAGAGACCAGACAGCTGCCGGGACAGAGAGCTGAGCTGCTTGGATGGAGGGCTGACAATGGGGGGCAGCCGCGGATAGGACGGCACGTTGGGCAGATCCAGAGTGCTGCAGTTGGGGGAGGACGGAGACGGGGAACGGGAGCGCAGGTGAGGATGATGAGGAGGTGGGAGAGGGGAGTGTCGCACAAGCCGGTTGAGTTCTACATCTTGCTGGTTCTTGTCCTGCTTCTGTTTTTGCTGTTGTTGTTGTTGGTGTTTCTTAGGCATCTTGAGGCATTAGGGTGTTGAGGCGGTTCCGGACGTTTACGAAGTACTGCTGCGTCCGGGTGGGGAACTGGGAGAGCTTCTGCGGGATGTTGGAAAAGCTCTGGGAGAAGCTCTGGGACAGACTGGACAGACTGGGGGCCACCGAACCGTCAGGGTTTTTGGGCAAAAGCTCAGTGAAGGTCTGGGCGATGTTTCGGGGGACCTGCGTGAGGCGGATGTGGGAGAACTCCTGGCGTAACTCGGGGGGCAGCGAGGGTAAGTACTTGGTGACGTCGGAGAGTTTGGTGGGTAGCTTAGGCATGGGAGGTATAGCGGGAGGAGAGATGCCGTTCTCTTTGAAGAAAGCGTTGATGTTGCCGAGGCACTCGGAGGTGTGAGGAATGCGCATCAGGCAGCTCTTAAGTGCATCACAGCTGACTGGAGCTACAGAGGAGACAGGCGCATAGAGTCAGGCAGAGCTGAAGGAAGGTGGGAGACGGACTCTACTGACAATCCAACAGCAGTCGGTCAGAATGACAACGTCAGACTCCTACTATATGAGACGATAGATTACGATCATGCCAGCAGTCACCAGATTTAATTTAGATAACAGACAACCATTCTAATAGACAGAAAACATGATTACAGCAGTAGATGTCTGCATGGTTAAAGCAGGATAGATTTAAGACCTTTTAGTTAATCAAAATGGAATGTAAGACAAAGTGAACTTCCTTGACCTGGACTGGACATGATCTTCGCACCAAGATTATTTTTTATAGCTTTTTGTGGTTTGGATTAGGCTCTTGTTGAAAAATAAAGCAAAAGCTTCCTTATTAGCATCTGCAGGATAATCCAGCAGCTTCAGCTACAATCCAAACCTGCAGATGTAGGCTATACTGTCAAACCTACAACCAAATACATGAGCAATTTAAAAGTCCAAAACCATGAAGTGGAACTAGTCTCCTAATCCCTTGTTTGACTTATATTATTGGTGTTTTGCCACTTTGTTCAGATACTGCAGCACCTCTGCTTTCTATGTACAGCTGCATTTTGTCTGAGAATCTCTTGCATTTTTGTGTTTTTCACTCTGCATGTTGGATTCCACTGCCTTGGTTCCCATCGTGCTGAATTTAAAATGCTTCCTGCACAAAATACACTGTACCTCATATGCATTTAATGTTACTAAGTTCAGCAGTGATGGGACATCTTGGTTAAATAACTTTTACTGAAGTTGTACTTCCCACATGTTGCTACTTGCTAGCAGGCAGTTCATCTGCTCTGAGCATCAAGGCACAAAACTAAATATAAGTGTTGTTGGTTCCATTATTCTGATCTGCACGGCCTTAAAGCAAGAAGCATGTAGTATTATTTTTTAAAACATGGATGTTATGAACTATTTTAAGATTTTGAATTGCAGAGTCAGAAAAAAATATTCCTAAAATCCTACTTCCCATGTCTTCTCAGCAGTTGTCAGAATGTTGAAAGGTTGATATAAGACATTTTAATGCTACTTACAGCCTTATTTTTAGATTAAGGGACTGCCTTTCAGGATTTTTTTTAAAGGATCTGTGGTCTGAATGTAAACAAGCCCGCAGACTGACAGTTAGGCATACGGTCATAAAGCTGCTACTTACATTAGATAACAGCTCTCATCACATTCACATTAGGAGAGAAATGAATAGCACATACCACCACAGCCATCCCCAGCAGCTTCCTCCTCCTACAAAAACACAGAGCACAAAACTGAAAACGGATCTGGTCAGAATGGACAGTTCTCAAAAATGTTCACACATCTTTGTGTGGTTGGTGCCCACACAACAATACTATAATCATCATGATTTAGAAAATACATTTGTTCTTTTGGACCTACATTGACTATTTATAATCCATTTATGTAAAAATTATGTGCTCAGAACTAGAGAAGGTATAACAGATATTTAGAGTGGCAAAACAAAGGAAGGACGAGACAAGAGGATGGATCCTGTGCTAGATTGATAATATGTCTAATTTATTACTAGGACTTAAGAAGCTTTAAGAAAGTTCGGTTTTGATGGGTCCAGAACTGAACACTGAATGCACAACTCTTGCACATTACTTTTTCAGCAGCCTTGTCAGCGGCAGCAGCTTGACCGTCTTCTGTTTTCTGCGGCTGCTGGGTCACAGCTTCTGAACTGGCTTCCTGGGTCTCTGGTTCTGGTGCAGAATCTGGCTCCGACTTCTTCACTGGTTCAGGACTTGGAGGTGGAGAGGGTGAGGCCGGCTGTGGCTCTGCTTCTTCATTTGGCTCGAGATTTTCTGAAAACGTAGACGCAAATATACGAAATGTCTTTGATCAGACTGACGGCACATGAATCAGAATTTGTAGAACACATGCTGATGATACAAACACCACAGAAACAAGCTATCTGTGGTGTGATTATCACAGCAAATCAACAATGAATCTCACTTCATTAACTCGTATTATATATGAATGAAAGTACTGGAGAGGATCCTGCTTTGCTCTCTACCTGGTTCCTGGATGTCAGGTTCTTCAGTCTCCACAATCTGCTCCTCCTCAGCGGCGCTCTCGTTCTTTCTGCAGGACAGAACAGAGCAGCAGTGAGTGGAAGCCAACATCGGTCCAATTGTTCAGCTGACAAACAGCTTAAATGAGGATGAGACAGTGCAGTACGGGGTGGACATGCTGGGAAACCTACCACCTGGCAGCGTTGGAGAAAGTATGCAAACATGCAATTTTCTGAAGTGATTTTAAAGAATTGATGAATTTAGGATGTGTATTATGCAGCGTGTCTGACTCGGAGCTTAAACTCTTGTGTCAGCGATGTTAGAAATTCATGCCATCATCTTTGTTTATGCGTCATGCTTCAGATATTATCTCAGGTAGTTCTTCAAATGTTTCAAAGCTATTGCACAGCAAATATTCACAGCAATTGCAATAAATCACAATTACACATTTTCCAGTGTGATTTGGATTTCAAACACGTTAAAGTCATTATCGATATCTCATGCAACGTGGTGATCACACTGGATGCTCCTCCCCTTTCTGCAAAAATCAAAGCTGCAAAATTTAAGTCTAAACAATAATATCAATATCATTCACAGTATTACTTCTCTCAGTAGTTTGTGCATCATGTGTAATATTTCATTTTTCTGTGCAGTATTTTGATGTCATGTACAACATGTCAGTGTAATGTGCACTATTTCATTTATCAGATGCAATCTTCCATTTCATGTTGATTTCAACTGCAAATGTGGTTTTCAGGCGTGATATTACTTTACTACGTTATTAGAATCGTTGTCAGTCTTCTTTTTTCCTTTTCTTTTTTTTTTTTTTATCATTCTAGCCTTATTTTTATTTTCAGTAATGAATCGGACCAAGTTCTGTCTCATCTCATCTTATGGGTGAAAATAAGACAGCTGGATATGACTCAATCTGAAAAGCAGGTGTGGATGTCTATAAGACAAACAAATATTTAAATATGTGCTTTTTATTTTATTTTATGTTAGATTTCCCTTTGTTTCAGCAGCAGTGTTCCTCTTTACCTGACAGCAACAACAGTGTAAAGAGTCTGATGATGTTTCAGTGAAAGCACACAGATTATAGATGAGGTGAAATTATGCACATATTCAAATGAATAAATTAAACTTATAATGACATATAGGATTAGAAATGTGGCTGATTTAGTAAATGTGTTCCCTTCTGACTTGCTCTTTCTGGTCCATTGAAACACATCCATCTAAATTCACTGACACCCACCTGTAGCTGACATGAGACTAACTAGTGATCTGTTTACATCAGACTAGTAAGAAAGTTAGTTTGAAAATGGGTCAAACTTACTCATTTCATAACACATATTATTCCATTACCTAAGCACGACGCTATGTCACGATAGTCGCTTTCACCGTGGGTTTATCCCGACACGAAACGTCCACGAGCGTCCACAAGTCACGCGAACTCGGCTGTGAAGGTCGAACAAACCGCATCAGGTGGTTTCAGAAATGTGAGAAAAACGAAAACACTCCGTCGCTTCATGTCTCCATCGTTTGTTTTGTTTTTTGTTTTTTTTAAAAACTGCGACGTGAAACAGGTGCTCTGTTACCGGGGGAACCGTCGAGAGGGGGAGGAGGAGGGAGGCGTGCTGTTGCCAGGGGAAGCTGTGGTTGCTATGACACGGCGCTGTGATGCTGAGGCAGCGCGCGGCAGAGATCGCCTAACGAGATCCCGCGGGATTTGGGACCCGCTGACTGAGCTGGTCGGCAGGATTCTGGAACAGTCAGCTGTTTGTTCTTAGTTTTAGTTTAATCCGCGAGTCATGTATCTAAATGTCACATTTAAAATCTGAATTAACTTTAAAAATGGCAATTTTCTTGTATTATTATTATTATTATTATTATTATTATTATTATTATTATTATTATTACCAAAGTAAGAAACCAATAGCTCAATAAATAGATAAACAAAAATAAAAATAATAATATGAGGCCTCCTAACCATATTATTCCTCCTGATCATTAGATATAATAATTTTTCATCCCATTTCTTTTCGTAGACGATAGTGACCTTTCTCATGGTATTGATATAATTTTACTGGTCTGAGAGAATCAGATATAAATGTATTTGATGTGATATGATGAAACATTCTGGCGATATTCTGGTGTAAAGTTATTGAAATCGGCTCCACCACCACCGTTTGCCTCATTAAGTACTTCTTATTTGTAAAGGCATCTGTAATAATAAAAGAATAATGCACAACAATAGTATGAAGTATATTTTGAACTGTGGTATTGATTTGAATAGTTCATCCATCACTTCAACAAGCTGCTGGAAACAGTGACAAGGTGAGGAAATTTATTCTTGAAATACTTCAGTCATGAGGATAGTCTTGTTAAACACTCATACATACATGAACACTGCATCTAGGCACGACACAGGAGGAGCATCACACACATGCTAAGTGAACAACTGAGGATCCTACAAAGAAGTTAAATACCCAACAAGTTCCTATTTGTATTCTTACTCTGCGACTTCACAGGGCTCCAGCTCGCTTTCCTCTTCTGCTCCCACTGGCAGCCTGGTCGTAGCAAACACACAGCGTCACATCACTTCACAAGCAGGATTTCATTGTCCAGATATAAAATACCAAAACAGTGGGCTGCTTGTCTGTCAGTCTTATTATTGGGCCTGTAATAGCAGGGTTGGGATTTTTCTTGAATCAGATTTTTCCAGCTGGCTTGAGATGCAGTGCATCACTTATTGGGCCCCTCTTAACAGATCTACCTATCTAACAAAGGAAGGGATTCATTTTAGTTTTATACATTTAGGATTTAGGGCAAATCGAGGGGTGCACTGTCTCTGTGAAATTAATTTCTCCTGCTTGTTTTAAAAAGATAAATCTGTCAGTATTTCAACTTTCCGTCTTCAGTCTTGGGCCTTCCTCGGCCTCACTTGGTCTTATTTGTGGACATTTCAGTCACTGAATGTTTTATTCATTTTTTTTAGACTCTGTCACGTCTATTTGTTGGTTTGTGTTCTTTTATGATGCACAAACCACAGAAGCTCTCTTTCTCTAACTGAGCACAGCGTCTTACTCGGCTTCAGGCTCTTCCAGCAGCTCCTGACTCCCCAGCGACAGCTTGATGGACTGTCCCTCACTGGCCATCTGTCTAATGGCCATCTCAGCGGTCTGCCTGGCCACCTCTTCAGCCATACGAGCCATCTCCACCCTCTCCTGAAGCAGCCTGAAGGGGGACAAGCGAGGGAGACTTGAATGTGCTGCAAATGTTAGTGATGTGGTGAATTCAATAATGGAAGTCTTATTTATTATTTCTTAGGCTTGAGATGCCACCAAAAACCCTCGGGCTCAGCAACAAATCAAGTTGATTTAGCGGTTTCCAACATTTAGACCACTCTATGATGGATGTTTATCTACTCCTTGTTCTTTAAGTTAATCAGTTAAACTGCTGATCCATTGAGACTGAGCTCTGAAATGTGGTGACGAATGACATTTAATCACAAAATACGTTGAGGGTTGCAGTATTTGGTTTAAGCAGAAAAGTTGGGATTATGTGGCAGTCGTGGTCCAGTATTGTGGCTATTCTAGTTTAATGATTATGTGATGTAATAGGCTCTGCAGCCTTTCTTACCGTTCCTCCATGGTAGCCAAAGCAACATCTTCAGCCTCCTTTTTGATGCTTTCAATAAACGGCGTCCAGCGGCCCGTCTGAGTCTCAGCATCTTCCTGACACATTTTTGTCTCGCTCTCTGACGGTTTGGGCTCGACCTCAGCATCACTGCACTTCTGAGGCTCCTCTGAGTTGGACTGTGTCTGCTGAGCCACTTCCTGCTGCTGGTGTACGGCAGGTGAAGGTGGAGTTGGGGATGGGGACGGCGCTGCAGCTTTGGAACGAGTTTCACATTTCTGCTGGCCCTCGTTGTCCGACTCCACGTCTTCCAGGACCATGTCAGGTTTGAGTTTGGACGAAACTACAAGAGGATGATAAGGATCATTTTGTATGGAAGAAGTTGGGAGAATATGGTGGATGCATGTTGTGGTGCTTTTACTTTGACATAAATACAGAATACAAGACAAGTGAGCTGACCCCTGTGCAGCATCACTCAAATGTGCCCTGAAGGTAACTGCATTATTTTAAATTGAACAGGAGCATATTTGCTCTTCTGCAATATTAAAAACAAACAGTTTACTATATTAAAAACACAGGCAACACAGTGGAAACACGATGCAACGAAAGTCAGTACAATTTTCATTACTGAGATTCAAATTCGACCTCTTTTGTCTCCCTTTTATTTTTGGTGACAGATGAAATCATTCTTGAAAACCAATGTTGGACAAATTTGTGGAGAGATGGTCTACCCTTCTTAAAGCCTTTTTTCAGCTCCTCTTTAAAACACCCCCATTGGATTCAAGTCAGGAGTTGCACTCAGCGGAGGTCAGTTGTCTCTTTTTTTAGAACCTTTAGATATTGAGAGTGTGCTCTGGATCATTATGTAGCTTCTTCTGCAAAGCTTCCAGAGTCTGGGAGTTTTCTTGTCAGCCAATACTTTCACACATTCACAGTCATTCTTGGCGCCATCTTTGAATGTCATCTCCCCAACACCCTGTGCACTCAAGGTCCTTTGCTGCATGCTGTTCTCTTGCTCTCTTTCCCATATTTCTTGTCTGTCTTTTTTTATCAACCCATATCATTCCACTGCTGTCTCCGTGCTTCACTGTCAGGACTGTGCATTCGCTGTGGTCGTCCAGGTTCACGCCATCTGAGCTGACTCATCTTGATCTTGTCAGACCAAAGAACATACTCCCCATTTATCAGGCTTCCTCGCCAAATTTAATCTTGCAGTTTTGTGCCAAAGTACACGCAGTGTTTTTCTTCAATGTCGTCTATAGATGTTATAAATTGTCCTGTTGACTGTCTGAGCTGCCACAGAAACTCCAGTTCCCACTGATAGCACCTGTGCCAAGTCTAAAAAATACTTGCCAGTCTGTTATTTAGAAAAAGATTGTGAAAAGAGTGTTTTTTTTTTTAATGGCGTCAGACTTTCGGAGGACAGCCCCCACGGCTCTGATTTGTGATACTATGGTTTATTTCATACCTCCTAATAGCAACCCCATTTGTGTGAAGCATCACAATTAGATTATTTCTTTTTAGTTCCTCTGGCGATTCTTTTCTTTGTGGAGCCATGATGCTGACATGCAGATGTTTCTACTGTGAGATCCACATTTTCAATATAGTTTTATCGAAAGTAAATGTTCTTTGAGATAACGCATGAATAGAGAGGTGATATAATTTTGAATCATTTGACATTTAAGCGGTGTTTCACCAGATTGCACTCACTTCTGTTGTATACTGCACACACCAATAGAGCTGGTCAACCTATAATCCAACTCTAATTGTATTTGATTGCAGGTGAATAGACCTTTAGCAGTTGGGGTTTCAAGAATGAATGAAAAAGAAAGATCTGTCGTCTCTGGTCTGTACAAAATTCACAATCAGATGTTTAATTCAGTTTCATTTGTTGAGTATTCAGAGAGGTACAAAAAGGTGTACCATGGTGGTCGGAAGCTGCCAGATATTTAATAAAAATGCCACATAAATCACTTCAGACACTGAACCTTTATTATTCCTGCAGTATACTCACATTACAGTACTGACGTCTTTACTACGTTCTCTGCATGATGACATCTTTATGAACAAGTACGGTTCTTTCAAATGAAGCCAAACCCTCTGGAACAACACCACAGTTCACCTCACAGTTCAAGGCCATAGAAGCAGATCAAGTGGATCAAGATCGCCTTTACTTCTACTCGTCTTCTGCTCTTACATTTGTGTGATTTTTAACTACACGCCTGGAAAAACTCACACATACTGTAACAGGATCCAAAGTGAACCTCGAGCATGAAAAGATAAAAAGGTCAATAAGGGAGTACAAGGAATAGAGATGAAAATAAATCTTTGATAGCATTTTTCTCTACAGTAAACCCAGCAAAAATAGAGATATACAGTCGATTATATTTTCTCTTCATATAATACAACACTAAGTGAACATAGCTGCCCTTTAATCGTTATATCAAGGTTTCTATTGAAGTCGTGTGTTTTATCTTGAGCCCTCTGAAAACAACTATCGTTATATTTATAACCGGTATATCATATTTGTTTTATTTATTATTGCTCTTTTTCTGCGTATGAACATGGCAACATGAATATTTATAACTCGACGTAGGCCAAAGCACAATAAGATAAATTTTTGTGCATGAAACCTACAGTAATTTCAAATAAATGGCAATCAGCACATGTTTCAAATAGAAAATGTGCAAAATCATAATGACTGAAGACAAAAACACATCTAGTGATGCTAAGAACAATACAGTACACGTTTAATATAAGCTGTAATACATTCATATGAAACTGTACCGGTGACAGTAAGGTGAGTTGAATATATCTCTATATTCTTGTGTGTTTTGTTTTTTTTACAGCTGCCTATAGTTTCTGCACTGAGCTGCACAACTTCACAGTACTGTAGTTCTGCCAGCAGCACAGTGTGTCTGTCTGCTGGTGTCTGTCTATCTGTCTGTCTGTCTGTCTGTCTGTCTGTGGGAGTCAGAGCGCCCCCCAGCCGTCTCCTCCTGCTGTTTAAGGGGCTCGCAGCGCCTTCCCCCCTGAAACAGAAGGAGAAGAGGGACTGAGTTAGGCGCCGACCTTCGGACCAAAACACCTCTTCAAAAACTATCGGGGGGAAAGACAAGAGGACGCTTCAACAGAGAACACAAAGGCAGTACTTTACAAACATAAGGAGGGCCGTCAGGTTTGATCAGTAATTAAAGTGCTTCCTGCTACTCTCTGACGACAACATCTGATATTGATCCACTTGACTGAACTGTGAGCTGTGGCAAGAAAACACAAAGCTGAGAGTTTTCTCTACGAAAGAACGAGTAAATGAATAAAACTCACCTTTCTGTAGGACTTCAGTGGCACCCTGAAACAAAACAGACAAACCGTGGAATAAGGTGGCATCCGTGACAGAAAAAAATCCCAAAAAAGTGATGGATGGTGAAGTGAGAGCTTACCCCAGCATCGTCTTTGGGCGGAACAGCAGGTTGAGGCAACTTCAGACCCAGTCCTGTCACAAACCAGCCCACCACGCTGTGGAGAGACAGACTGATGAGCTGGATGCTCTTCAGAGGAAACAACCTACTTAATTTGATCATGTGTGAGCTTTACATGAGGATAATTTCTCATAAAGTCACATGTGTCCTCTTCTCTTCTCTGAACTTCAATGTGCTTCAGCAGCTGTGCATCAGGTTTTTGAGATTATGGGGCAGAATCCAGCTCTGTTAGCAGCAATAATACTATCAGGTTATGGTTTATTTTGATGCTGTGATCATGAGTATAAAGGAGCTGAGCTAAATCAGCCTTTTCATGGAAGACTTCTCCCCGGTTAAGAATGTTTTGGTGTAAATTATTCAGCTAACGTTGGCAGCTTAGCTTCAGTTTGTACGATGACAGGCCAAACTGTGAAAAACCCTCTTTGGTAACACGCTAGGGAAGAACAACCTTCATCAGCCTAAAAATGCTACAAGATCATAAAGATCATTAAAGAAAGTGCCTGTGGTTTGTGGAGCTCACCCAGAGGACTTGCTGTCAGTGTCCAGTGAGATCCCACTGAGAGATTCAGGTGGTGGAGACAGAACTGCAGAGCAAACAGACACATAACGGTCAGTGTAGAAGATTTAAACATAGTCACTGGAGCAGCTGATATTTCCAGGTTTGACATACTTTTGTCCAGAGAGGAGCGGGAGGACTGGTTTGGCGTTTCAGCTGGTACGGCACCAGGGGGCAGCACCACCGGCTGAGGGATCATCTGCTTTATCCAGGTAACCACGCTGCACCAGAGGAAGAGAAAGAGGGGCTTTTAGATATTTGTAGAGTGCTTAAATATATGACCAGGAGTCAGTGTGTTTGGTGAAGTCCAGTCCAGGCTGCACAGTGCAGATTGTTCTGCTGCAGAGCCGGAAACCTTGAACCAGAGGCTGCCGTGGAGGATGTGTAGCAGGAGGTGGCTTTTACTTACTTGGGAGGAAACTGAGCAGGTACACTCTCTACTTCCGACCCCTCATCCTCCGACACCATCTCCACCACAGGGATGTGTGGAAGCGGATCGTAATCTGAAGACACCAAATAGCAACAATTAATAATAGTAGTAATAAGCCATGTATTTTTAAACATTCATTTGACCATGTACTGATTAAATACTCATAAATAGGCAAAACACATAGTAGTGTGATGAAATAAAGCATACCTGGCATTGTTGCTACGTCATACACCTGGCAAAGCAGAGACAGAAAAATTAAAAGTGAAGACAATAGAAAACAAACTGGTTTAATTCTTGAAAACAGTTAAATTGTTTTATAACTTTTCAATTCCGTGTGGAAAACTTGAGTGAAACCTTCTCAATTACCTTGGTTTGGGCACTTTTTTTCTGTTTCTATCTATTAAAAGAGGCCTCTATATGTAATTATCCTCAACATTAAACATGTAACTGATTGGAAACATATCTGTCCAGATGTTTTACGTTTCAGCGCCAACAGCTCCAGGTGGCTGCCCCATGAAGACTCTGGTTTAAACAGCAGTGAAGGTAATAACCTGGATAAAGCCCTTCTGTAAATTCCTTTGTAAGCTTAATCCTGACACATGATTACTCTTATAAGCCTGAGGAGACGTATTAAGTTGCTTCAGTCAAGTGTCACACGACTCACACGCTCTCCACAGCAGCATCTATCCATCTGATGGTGGATATTTCAGGTGACTAAATTAAACAGCGTTATGTTGAAGAGGAAAACACCCCACAGGACTGCATCAGTTGAAGAAATTAATCAGGGTTGTGTTTTGTGACACTGAATTTGAAGCTGTATTTACGTTGCATGTGTTGGGGTTGTGTGTCTTTTTGTCTCACCTCCGTGTGCTCGTCGTTGTTGGCGTTGTCGATCTCTTTGTACTTGTCATCCGGCTGAGGCAGCACTTTGGTCAGACCCTGAGCGACCCAGCTGATCACTCCAGACCTGACAGACAAACAGCCTTGAATCTGACCTTTCACAGAGCATATTTTACTTCAGTTATTCACCAGTTATTTGATCATTCAGTACCTTTCTTCATCTTCTCCCGGCTGGTTTGCAGAACAAAACAAAGGGGGAAAAAAGTCAGATTCTGTCCTCTGAACAACTACAACAACACTACAACTCCTCTGGTGAAATGGCTTCTTCAGGAGAATTTAAAGCATTCATGGGATTTATGGATATGTCGTTTTTTGTGTTTTTTGTGTTGTGAAGCTGTCACCAACATGCATGATTACTCAGCAGATTTAAAGGTAGTTTTGTACAGAAACACCACAACAGAGGAATTAAACAATTTTTCTGATCTTTGTCGTGTACAGACACCAAAAAACCTCTAACGTGAGGCCAGTCCATGTGCTCTCAGAGCTTCGCCTGGTTCCATCCAGATGGAAAACCTTTGAATGACTAAGTATGAAGGCGATTTCCTGTGAAATTTTCGCCCAGAAGTTTTACTGGACTGCACTCAGGAAGCAGCTACATAAGAAGTGACACAACTGGCTGAGATCTGACGCTCAAATAATAGATCAGGAGCTAATTCTGCCTGTTGAATTCCTCTGATTTATATCTGCCTTTAATGCTCCGGTTTGCAGTCAGCTTTAAAAACACACTTGATGTTAGCGGACTACGCTCCCACTCATCTGTGGACTCACCCTGGCTTCGGAGTTGGCCCTGGTGAGTCGAGGCGAGCCAGCAGGCTGCGGCAGGGCGCTGACGAACCCGTTAGAGAGCCAGCCTAATACTCCAGTTTGGCCCTGACTGTAGAGGAGGTGAATGCAGACAGAAAGATGTCAGTATGCATCAATAAATACACTCTCACTGATGCGTGAGAAGAAGAAGTGGTTCACCTGTCTTCTGATCCCTCCTCTATGTTGGTCAGTGGAGGACTCTTCACTGTGGGACACATTAAACACACAATAATTTATGCTATAAATGATTCTGACACACCACTGACATGCATGCACATCTAAAGGTTGCACTGCAAGCAACTGCTAATAATTCTCACCGTCTCTGTTTTTTTGAGGCTTCTGCAAAGTCAGACAGACAGACAGAGAGAAAAATAATTAGACAGAAATGACACTGTGCAGGCTGAGTGTGTGTGTGTTTGTGTTTGTGTGTTGTCGTACAGCAGCAGAGGCGTCGGCAGCATCGTCCGTCCCACCAGCTTCAGGAGGTTGGGGAACCACTTTCACCACCCAGTTAAACATCCTGTAAACAAACACACACAATCAGCTGCTTCAAAAGCCCTTCATCGAACAATAACGCTGATGATAAATCCTAATAATTCACTGAAGTCGCCACTTCATCTGTCTGACAGAGAGCCCTTCTCTGGACTAATGAGGTCTGATGAAGGACATTTACCTGCTGCAGTTTCGCTTTTAACTCTGAGGACAGTTTTGGTCCAATCTGAATATAATTTCAACTATTTTTCTCCTGCAAATCTTAAAAATCTTTGCATATTTAGGCACATTTGCCAATCAACTAATTAACTTCAGGATCACGTCAGCCCTGCTAACCCCGCACAGAAGTCAGAAGTTAGAGGACATTAAAAGGTTTAACCTCATGCAGGCTGCAGTTCAGCATAAGCAGCTTTACCAGGAGGCCCCGCAGGTGGCAGAGGGTTCAGTCGGTTAAATCAGTTAGACGGAGAGAAATCAGTCTCAAATGTACAAAAGGAGAAAGAAATTTGGACAGGCCCAGGATGCTGATTCAAGACAGAGAGTTCCAGAGTCAGCAGGAGGGCCTCTTCTCTGACTAAATCTCAAATGTGCGTGTTATCTGTCGTGATCAACCTGCTAAGATAATCCACTTCAGCAGCAGAGCAAAGAGCCGCTGAACCTGCAGGACGTCCTGCAGCTCGTCTGACCACAAAGTCAGAGACGAACACAGTGATTCTACTAAATGTCTAAATTACACTTGTAGTCACTTTTTAAGATGCAACTCAGCTTCATTTTTTTGCTTCCTTGTGTCATATAAAAACTAAACCTAAAAATAATACACTATTAAAGTCCACAAAGGCAGTAAATAAGATTTACGCCGTGCAGCAGATGGTATTCTGAGCCGAAGGGGAACATCAATGCTGCGACCAAAAACCTGTCTGGTGGAGCCATAAACTATCCTCAGGAGACAGAAAAACTTCAACAATGTGGAAATTAATTTAGAAAATAAATCAAAAATGTCACGGGTACAGTATCTGATGAAAGCCTTAATACTCTTCAGTTTCCTCCGCTGACCGAGTGTTTCATACCTAAAGCAGATTTGTACAGGTCTGTAGAGGAATATGCAAATTTAGACTCATAGTTTAGGCCTAAAATAACAAAAGTCCTGCAGACAGCTGTCAGCACTGTCTCGTTCATTCCTTGTGGGAGCGATTATCTGTGGAAAATCCACGTACAACACTTGTTTTGAACAGTTTGTGATCTCTGTATGTGATTCCTGACACCATGTCCCCAGTAGCAGAGATCACAGAGGCCTAATCTCACATTGGTAGCACTGGATTAAATGGTGCTGCTCTGCTCCCCCACAGCTAATCTACATTCATTCTGCTCTGGACACATGTTTTCATCATGTAGGATCATTTTCAGTCAACAAATATAAAACAAAATCCAAAATTGTGTTGAGACTTGATCCTTTCAAGTTCTATAAATTTCTCGTTCCTCAGATCAGAGCAGACAGTCACTCTCACTACAGCGAACCACAAGCTGTAATACCAGAACAATTTCTGTATTTCTTTTACAAACAGCAGCTTCTCTTCCTGATAGACCAACTGCCTCTACACCAAGATCTCAAGATCAACGCTCTGGTGCTCATTTTGCCCCTCAAAGCATCCATAAAGTCGTGGGTTTCCCCGATTTCAGAATAACTGACTCCTTACCTGAGTGTCTACAGGTGGTTCTGCATGCCGGTGCTGTAGAGATCCAGAGTGCGGCACGGCCAGCACAGATCTGCTGGGATTTCCACAGCGGCTGCCCGGGGGCTAACGGGATTAACCTGCAGCACTTCAAGGTCAATGCACAATCCTGGACCGTGAGCAATGGCAGATTACGAGCAGAGAAACGTTTCGTCGGGACATCAGCCCTGTAACCTATAAAGCGTTGTCACCAGTGAAGACAGCAGCAAGGGGAGGATTCACACCACCAGGGATTTGTGACAGGAAGTGAAAATGCCCTTTTTCTACCAGTGAACAAGCAGTTAAACACAAGAATCATTGTAGTGCTGCTGCCATGTTCAGCCAAGCATAGGAGTCCAGATCCATATGTATCTGTAGGATCTTCAGAATCATTTATTTTGGTGGTTTTCTATATTGAGCACGTTAAATGCTGGCACCCAGAGGAAATTTTGCTGCTTAGAGCTGTCTTTTCTTTTTCCCATCACAAATAAATCATCCTCGACTGCTTCTCCAAAGCCACCCGTCAGGAGCAATAGAATAAATCAGTCTGAGACAAATGATCCTTCCAGTTTGAGTACAACAGGAGAGAAAAGCAGGAGTTCTCACAGACTCCACAGAGGTTTCTCCTCACCGACTTTATGCGTCAATAAATACACGAATTAGAGGAAAAACGGCAGCGCTCGTTGGTGAAGAAGCAGCGCGCAGCTTGGACAGGTTGCCCATCCATGACACAGCTAACACAGACAGACACGCCCTAATCACATGCCAATTTAGCAATTAACCTGCAACACATGTCGCACAGGGAGAACATGAAGCTCTATTCCATCTCTGTGTCATCCCATAAAGTGATTACAGAATCTTAATTATGACGTTAAAAGATGTACGAGTGACGTGTGTGTGCTGAACATGCCAGCAGTGTTTCCTCTACGTTCACTCTGCTGTGATGCACATTAACCACAGCCACGTAGACGTTCCAATCCACAAAAAAGCAGCTGCTCGTCCAAATGACTTCAAACTCAACACTGCACTTCGTTGGGATCCCGGCTGTACAAGGGCCCAGTTTGAAGTGATTCTGATGAATGGCTGTCGAGATACGTGAAGAACAGACACACACACATACCGACAGAGATTCCTGAAGTATGTCTGAGATTCTGAGAACTGATTTGACCCCCTACATACTGGATTTTGACACAGTTGTCCACATGCTAAAATGCTTTAAAGACAGAAAAGAGATGTTTACCATCTTCAACCTAGACTAAAAATGACTGGCAGCCACCTCTAGCTGGACACCTTCAGCTGGGTTAAAAACAACTTATGCAACACATTTTTCACAATTAAACCCATTGTTTCCCATCGTTCTGTTGTCTTTTGACCCAATAAATCATCTACTGTCATTGCATTCTGCATGTATATGAGTAAACGGTTCTAAGAAAGGATGAAACCTCTGGGCTGTTTGATTCAACATGAAAGCCTCAGTGTTTTGCCATCAAAAGCAAAGATTAGAAAAAACTAGAAATCCATAACCTAATATATATTTCAGAAGGAAAGGTGCCTTTTCTTTTTTTTTATATCTCGCTAAATATCATTTCACGACTCTACTGATTTATCTTCAGTCTTTTGGAAAGGGAACTAATCAAGCTAAGCCAACCCAAGAACTCAAAATAACTCCAGCTTGACCTGCGACATTAGAAAATGCTGCTTCTGAATGAAAAAGTCATTATTTCTGCATCATTAGCGCTTATATTTCACTGCACTTTTTGTTTTATGAAGCAATATTTTCTCCCGTGCACCTCAGGATGGAGCAGCTGCTACCTTGGCAGTGGATGATGTGGATCCAAACAAATAAATAAAAACATCGTCCTGCAGCAGCTTTTTACAGTAAAAATGGAAAGAGTGGATGAAGATGTTTGGAGCTGAGGAAGGAGGAGGAGAGAAAGTATGGCACAGTGCCTGAAAGTGATTAAGGAGGATTCAGGATGGGCCTTAACCAACTGGTAAACAGGACGTGGCACATTTGTTGTTGTTGTTGTTGTTATGGGTTGTGTTAATGCACATTTCTCAGGTGAAGCTGAGAAAGAATAGCTGCTGTGATGGAAAAGTTTGTGGCGATTCTCACAAAAAAAATAAAAAAATTGGTACAGATAGAGGCGGAGAGGTGGAAGAACATCGCCAGGTCTGACAGCTGGAGCAATCACCCCACATTTACTGAGGCCTGTTGTTGTATTTGAGAATAAGAACCATTTATGGAGCTGATGAGGCAGGAGGCAGATCTCATTATGAGCTCAGCATGGGATAAGCTGAGAGAACAGAACGGTGACACAGAGCCTCGGTCCTCGGCTGGAATGTGGCAGCGCGACACTGGCCTCAATCCTAATTGAACATCTGGATAAAACCCGGTGGCAGGGGCACTTTGGGGGGAAAAGACGGCAGAGGAACAGAGTGGAAACTGCACAGCTGTCTGCAAAAAAAAAAAAAAAACTACAGTCGTACCAAACTACAGCTGCTCACAATTTCATTTTTATTAAAAGGTGTCATTTTTTTATTTGGTGCAAACGGAGCAGAATGAGCTGAGGCGAGAAAGAGCGGTTGGAAGATGAAAGAGAAAGCGGGTGCAGAGGTAAAGCTGTAGTGGATGATCTGTGACGGAAGCTAATCCTGATTAGCTCTGACATAAAGACGTGCAGAGAGGCGCTCTCACTCACAGCAGACAAAAGGCTGTCACGCCAGACCTTATGTGCAGACATAATACTTTGACATGTGTCACGTGTACAAAGGGGGAAGAAGAGCTCAGATTCTTCCCTAAAAGTAAAAGTATTCATGTCATAATGAAAAATACTCCTTCACAAGTAAATGTAACGCATCAAAAATACATGAGGAACAGCAGCTGTTACAGCTACTATCCTAATGCATCATACTTTATAAGGTGATCTGAATGAAAGGACTTCATTTGCAAACTAACTCCAGCTGTAAATAAATGCAATTTTAAAAAAAACAACAACTTTATTTCCTCCTGATGTGTCATAAGTAGCATCAACTGTACTAAACAGCATAAAAGCTAAATTAAATCTGTGCTTGAATAAATGTATTCAGTCTCTAGCACTTTATCTCTGCCAACACACACACAGGCAGATGTTTTCGCATCAATATTTACTTGTAGTTTCTGCTTTAATTCATTTCACTGATATTATAGGAGTCCTATTTGAAGTTGTGAATGTTTGGATTCAGTTTCCAACATTTCTGAGGCAACGATTCCCTCTTGTGGCCAAAAGAAGCATCAAGGAGCTGAACTTTAGAAGAGCAGTTTAACCCTACAAGCACTGGGCTATTCCATTCCATTTATCCATCCATCCATCATCTATACACCGCTTAATCCTCACTAGGGTCATGGGGGGCTGGAGTCTATCCCAGCTGACTCAGGGTGAAGGCAGGTTCACCTGGACAGGTAACCAGTCTATCACAGGGCTACACTTAGAGACAGACAACCAAGCACACTCACATTCACACCTACGGACAATTTACAATCACCAATTAACCTCAGCATGTTTCTGGACTGTGGGAGGAAGCCGGAGAACCCGGAGAGAACCCCCGCTGCACGGGGAGAACATGGAGACTCCACTCGTAAAGATCCCGGGTGTCACCATTTGACATGATAATACTTGCAGATTTATTTGTTTTTATATCAGCCTTTATATCAAGGAAGCAAAACGTGTGATGGAATTGTGATGTTTGTTCATAAATCGCTGACAGCAGACATTTCTTTTATTAATTGTGTCAGAGGGATTGTCTGGAATCTGGCGACATCAGAACCATGACGGTGGGACAGTCTGAGAAATTGGACAAAATATACGTTTAGTGCCAAACTGATAGGTTATCATTTTGTTCTAAGAAGTGTTCAGATATAATGCCACTAGCAGAGCAGCGCCCCAGAAGTGAGTGAAAAAGAGGGTGAAGAAATTGGAACAGATATGACTTTGATTTGTCTTCATAATGTGATTATTTCAAAGTGTACAGACATTAAAAACAACAGCTGCTGAGCCAACGTGCTCCACTGCAGAGGAATAAAGCTGATGCTATAGATTCACCAAACAAGGATAAATATCCAGGTTAAGGTGCTGCCGTGTAATGTATGTTAATCTACCTGAATACTAGAACTCCTACAAAATCATATATAATACATGCTGAGTTCATGAGTAATTCATACTAATAGTAACGGGTGCAGAGATGGACACGCTGCCGTCTGCTGGTTGTATTATGATCAATTTAAACTCAACACTTTATTCTTGTCGACTCTTTGTTGCACAGACAAGCAACTAGCACTGTTGGAAAGGTAAAGTTGTTTTCTTGATATGTGTTACACCTCACTGCAATAAATACCTCCAGAGCAGTTCAACCAAGAAGAGGGGATCCGAATGTGGCTGCAAGGTGCATCCGTCGGGCTCTGAGGGTTAAAATGTGTACAGTTACAAAAGCATTAAAACCAACATACTGCCACAGAGACGACTGGTGCTGCTTTTTACCTGTGAGTTTTATTGTGAAAACCTTTAATGTACCCTACACAGGAGTGCACAGGCCTTACAGAACATGCCCTGCATGCATCAACATCGTCATAATAATCTACTGCTGCTCTTACAGAAAACCTGAACACAAAAAATGTACAAAACTACAAATTATAAGTAGAGTAAGAAAGGTAAGAAACAGACCGTAAAAACTTTCCCTCATGCTTTCTATAGTAAAAAAAAAACATCCCCCAGTATTAAGAGAAAAAAGGCACCATAATAACATGTTGATAGTGGCTTTACACGAAGACAGACTGACAGATAGATAACAGAGGAACAAAGTGGGACAAGATCACATCCTGCAGATGTTTCATGATCTGTTCAATGCGTGAGCAGACTTTCCAGAAGAGAGGGGGAGAAAATGAATACATCTGGGAAAACAGAAATGCAGTACGGTACAGCGAAGGAACAAAAAGGAAGGAAAAGGACAGGCTAATAATGACAAAACAAAAGGGAAGAAGAAGGGAGAACAGAGACAAAGACAGAGGAGGGAGGTAGGAGGGACAAGAAGTCACCTCCAGCTCATCACACGGCAAACAGAGCAAAAACAAGAGAAGTGGACTCAGTGGCCCAATGTAGGTCAGGAGGCACAACGCCAGCATTGCCCCTCCTAAAAATCCTTCCAAGCTCTCTTTCTCCTTCCTTCCTTCCCCTCGCTCCTCCTTTTCCACAGAACACTGGAAAGGAAATGCTGACAGAGCCCTCCCTCTCCCCCTCCTCGACCTCCTCCGCTTTCTTTATTTCTTTCCCGACTCATCTTCCCTTTTTCTCCTTACTCACGACCACCGACTTTTTTTTTTTTTTTTTTACAACTCCAACTTTTTGCATTTTTCCCAACTCCCCTCTCTCCTCCCTCCTCTCATGCCTGACACTACTAAATCAGCAACATGTGGGCTTAATGGAAACCAGACCCCGGCCCATTCTCCTCGAGCCTGCAGGCTTCTCCCTCGTAGACTTAATTAGCCTCAACTCTATTTACATTTAGCATGAAAAAAAAAAGTCAGAGGAGATGCAGAAAAGGAAGGACGCCGTTGCTACGTTTTCACAGGTTGCAGAATTTGTAAAATACCGCAACACTTATTGATTCTTGTAAAAAAAAAAAAAAAAAAAAAGGAAAAAAAAGTGAATAAATCCCTGCCCCTGGCACCAGTCGTATATCAATATGCCTCCGCTGGGATTGTGTTTTTAGTGGTACAGTCTGAACAGTTACCATGGCTGTGGTGGGAGGAGGGGAGGCTGGAGCCTGAGTGTCTGTGTGCCTTTGTAAGTGGTCTCTATGTGTGTGTCGGCATATGTGGGCTCGCATGCACAAATGAGCGCAGATAGGGGATTTTTGAGATCATGTGACGGTGGAACATGTGTGCGAGAGAAGGAGAGGGCAGACATAATGGGCTCAGTGGGAGATGGGCAGTCGTGGACACGCAGCTGTCTGACATTCCTGCGCTGGTCGGAGCTTCGCCTGCTCGTGTGTGAGTTTAATAAGCAGAGAGGCTGCTGCTACATCAGCTAAACCAAGTAACGAGAGATCAAAAGTGCAAATTATCTGTTTTGAACAGAAAGAAAAATGTCAAGGTTGGTTGAAGCACCTTAGTCGAACATAAGAAAGGTTTGTTCCTATGGACGCATGGATTTGTTGTACTAGTGGTGAGCACTGGTGTGTTTGCGTATGTACAGCATGCGTGTGCTTCTGCGTAATGTATGTGCTCGATTGACTTTGTCTGCATTTTCTACTACAAATAAATCACTCCAATGTCCCTCTTCTGTCCAATTAGAATTGGAAACGAGCTTTCCAAGAGTGGCCGTGTGTCTTTAACAGCACACCTAAGGTCATGAGTCTGCATTCTTTTAAGTTGTGATGGAAACATTATGCATTCTTTTAAACAAACAGAGGCACTTCTTTTTTTTACACATTTGGAAGGCACAGAGAGAAACTCCCGGCAGAGCTGAATTCAAGGCCAGAATGAGGGAAACTGCGGCTCCACAGGCGCAGACTTTCTACTTTTTATCATTTCACGAGCAATAAAAGTTCTCACAATGAATAACGGGGTCCTCGGCATTGAGGTAACTCATCATCAGCTTTCTGAATCTTTAGCACTGTGTCAAAGTTTCATTTCCCTCCCGCGCCATGAGTGAAAAATTTGACGGCAGTGACAAATGATGGATACCCGTTCTGTGGCTTCTAACTCTGTGCATCACACCCAGTCCTGCAGCGAGCGCTTGCAGTGCACCAAGGCCCTCGGCGTCTCTTTGTTCTGCAGAGTCCTGAGGATAGCGTAGATTAGGACCAGGATGCACAGGATGAGCACCAGAGGAACAGTCACCATGATCAGGGTCATGATCTTCGATTCGTTGTCGGCCACCACGACCACGTTCACCTCATTGTCCTCGTCTCCCTCTGCGCCGTCAGGTTTAGTGGTTTTGTCTTCCTCAGTTTCTTTGTCCTGGCCCCTATCCGGCTCTTTGTGCACATCTTTGCCTCTGTCTGAGGGCTTCACTGGTTTGTCCACTGGCACTTGCTCAGTGTCTGGGTCGGGCTTCGGATCGGGGACTCCCACACAGCCCATGAAGTCCTTCAGGATGGAGCGAGGGTAGCCTTTGTCTGCTTCCATTTTGTGGTTGTCAAACCTCCAGTAATTGGCGCCTTTGTAGAAATAGGTGTAAGCTGCATGAGAAGAAGAACGTTTTAGTCAATTTAGTAAATGCACAACATGTAAAGCATTAAAAGTGGAGTCTGATTGGGGGGAAAACTTGGTATTATTCTGTAGAACATGGTGGTCTGGCTGCGACCCACTATTATTCTGCTGTAAGGGGAAAACAACATTCTGGCTTGTTTGTAGTTCTTTAAATTAATCACAGTCGTCGTGGGCAGGGCTCAGCAAAAGATGCAGCTTTGGTGTAGAATTGTTGTGGTAGAACATTTGCACGCAGGATATATGTTGTATTTATGCTACAATCCACTGCAAACAAATAAATAGCAGGGATGTCTTACTGTACGACCCAAATTGAGACTTTTAGTGCAGTAGGTTGCTGTTTGGAGGCTGCTGTTGTTCCCCATCTTGAAGAAAACGGTAACACACAGACAGCAGGAGGAGGAACTGAAATGAGAGTGGCTTCTACCCACTTCTTACATCCAGTGAGTCGGACCAATATTTAGCTAGTAAGCATATTTAACTAGTTGTAAAGTCCCACAGTTACCATCCCCAGCCCCTATCTGCCTCTTTTCACTCCATCATCCCCTCGTCTGGTCCCGTGCATGTTGGAGCTTGTGCATACTCATGTTTCTGCAGAGGACATACTAGAATAGTGTCTGGATTAGTCTGAGCCACGTTGCTTCCCTATTTACAGAACCAAGGCTGTGTACAAACACAGGACTTTGTTTCAGTGCAGAACCAACAGCCCGTTGATCACAGGGAGGTCTTCATTGGATCTGACAGGATCGCTGACTCTACCTTTAACGTTTGGCATCGAGACTCTGGCCTTGTCACTCCCATACATGGAAAAACAGGAGAGTGGAGACTTTTCTTTTGACTCTGTTCTGGATGCATTTTGCAAACATAAAAAAACCCACAAATATTCGATCCTCCTGGACAGTCCAGTTATTTCAGTCCTTTGACTGGGTTTATTTGTTTGTTTGTTTTTCATAGAAAGGCATTTAGGGCTCAAACCAAGCCCATAAAACTAACTAAATGCATTTTAATTATTATTTCATTTGCTCTGAGTTAAGATGATGAGACGATTTATACCAGTCTTGTATCTGTCTAATAAATATGCAGCCGCCAACCGCAGCCAGTTAGCATAATTCAGCACTCACATTGCAAACAGGAAAAAAACAGCTGGTCTTGCTTTGTCCAAAGGTACTGAAATCTGCATACCAGCATCTCTACAGCTCACTAGTTAAACTGTTATTTCTACTGATGAAGCAATGTGTTGTGTCTTAACTGCAGAACTTCAGAGGTGCAGATATCGGGACATTTGGGACATCTGAACAGACCCTTGCCAGCTGTTTACAGCCTTTATGCTCAGATGATTAGCTTGATATGAGGTTATCCGTCATCTCATTTACCTCTAACTCTTTCTTTAAAACTTGCTTGTTTACTTTATCATTTGTCTCGACAGGGTAAAACTGAGTTCAGTCTTTTATGCAAACAAAAGGCAGACTCAGGAATGTTTCTTCGGGGAGCAGTTAGGCTTTCTCACACTCCCCTACATTCTCATATTTTGCACCATGCTGACTTCTCCTCAAACCAGGACAGACTCTAATAAGCATTACACCAGACTGTACATAAATGTGTGGATGTGAAACTAGAAAAAAAGCAATAAATCCATAAGATGTGTGGTTTTAATGCGCTAATTGGTAATGCATTGCAAAAAAAACCCCACACACAATCTTCTCGGGGTAAATTTCTGGGTGTGAATGTGGTTCCGTAGTGGAAACCAGGCCTCATGCAGAGACATTAGAGCAGTTTGGGTGGAGACGAGATCTGACTGTTACTGAGTGCATTTAGGGCAGCTCTGCCTCAAATCTAATTTCCAAAGGAAGGACGGGCCAAGCCTCAAACCAGAGCTCTCATTCCTCTCTCTGTTCTCCCTCCCTGATCCCCCTCACCCTTCTCTCTCTCTCTCTGCTCTGTTTGCTCCAGCCTAACCAGTCTCCATGTATTTCTTTCCCCCTCTCTCTGTCTTTTGCACACCCCATTTCACCCCGTCAACCTTTCGTTCTTTCCCTCCCTCCCTCCACCTCCACTCCGTCACGCTGTGCAGCTTTTGGTGTTTGTTGGGATCCTCGTAAACGAAAGCCGCGCTGATGTTCCCTTCCCTGAAATGAAACTTGTAAATTTCCCCCGATTTAAAGCCATTATTTACCACCATCGTCGCTGAGGAAGGCTCCTTTTGGAGAGTCGGGAATCTTGCCCCATCTGCTGATTGGTTTGGGGAAATCTCGGTCTGTGGTTCGCGTCTCCTCGCTGTATCGCCAGTACCTGGACACAGACACCGAAACCTTTAACAATGCTGTCACAGTGTGCAAAAAGCAGGAATAAAAAGTCATTTTCTGCTTGTGTCTGTGTTTGTACCTGTCTCCTGAGAAGAAGTAAGTGTGCCCGTTGGGCTCCCACCAGACAGCCGTGTCGATCTTGTGCGCAGGAACTCCTTGTCCATACTGATATAAGGGCTGAGGGTACCCTGGCAGCACATCGGCCTCCCTGAACACCCAGTATCTATCATCTGTGGAGGCAAGAAGGAGAATTATGTCTTTCAAGCGACAGCAGCACACCGAGCACAACCTCCCTGCGCAGATAATGTTTGTTATCAGCAGGGCTGCAGCCTCCACATCGACTGGTTGGTTCAAATTCTCATTGGTTGGTGTTACTTTCACAAGGAGAAAAGCAGGTATATCAACAACCTTCCAGGATGAAGTCATTATTGTTGGTAGGGAGAGAAACAGTACCTGTAAAAGCTCCTGTCTTCACAACTTTAAACCGGCCCAACCAAACAGAGGCTGCCATGTCCAGCTTATTTAGCATTTAGAGTATGTTTCCTGGATGTTTACTGAGAGTTGAGTGCAAACTAATTGACATTACGTCAAAGAAGTTGCTGGTGTGGCTGTATTGTGTGAAAACAGATGGCCAGAAACAGCTAAACAACCAACACAGCATATCACGTAAAAGTGGCATTTTAACTCGTCTGTTATATTCCTCAATAGTTCTTCTGCTGGGATCACAAACTGATATGGTATGGTATCACTGAAGTGTTAAATAACCAGGTTAAAATGATTTAATATGCTGCAAATACAAGCTTTCTGTGTTTACTCATAATTCATTATGGTTAATAAAGCAAGTACACTGCACTCAGCACACTGTGGCCAATTCAGTCCATACAGAGACAAAGACTTTTCTTTCCTGCAAACCAATCGATTCGTTGAAGAGCAGGTACCATTTCAGATTTACCTTAGTTGACTGCAGCCTTAGTTGTAGGACAAAGTTAATGAAAGAGAGAAGAAAAGCAGAGAGAAAAAGTTGGAGCAGATGCAGAGAAGTCTGATGGCCAGAACACATGCTATATGTCATGGAGTTTACTCACTCTGGAAGAAAAGTAGAAAGGACAGGCAAGGTAGAAATGGTGGGCATAACACAAATTTTCCAAGATTTCCTCATGCGAGAGCCAGTTTCTCCCCTAACCCTAATCTTTGGACACACTTTCAGCCACTTTCCACTTGTACTGCCAGGACGCTGCAGCACTGCAATATACTGTACTGACTGTAGTGGCTGAGTGTGTGCTAATCGGTGCACACTCACTCTGGAAAGCCGTCTACCTGCTTTGACCTGCTGTTTTCTCTTCTAGCTAAATGACTTTGATGTAATTTCTGCAGGTTTTGGATACATGTTCAGACAATGCCCTAAAAGCAACCTCAGCTTTTCTTTAACCGCTAAAGAATGCGACCAAAACAACAACAAATTAGCGCGATGCACAACTCTTCCATGGTGGTTAATGAGAGTAAGCCTGTGATCAAAAGCTTCAGTTATCCTGAAAATGCATGACAAATCACAATGTGGCCTCGTTGTAAAAGCAAAAGCATCACAGCTGTTCACATGTGGAGCAGCGCAGCAGAGCCGGCTGATGCAATCCTCCACCTCTCATGAAGCCTTTTGGGGCTCAGCTGGAGTGGAGCAGCGCTGGGCCAACAACAGCTGCCACGCTCGCACAGGCCTTTCTCAAGACACCCAATGAACTCATTAATACACAATGACGCAGTTTTACATGCATGCAAAGACACACAAACACAATGCTCTCTTTCTGTCTGCAGCCTTACTCGCAGAATGTTTAAATACTGAATCATTCGGGAAGTCGTTTCTTTTTCATATAACTGCTGGTGTTTTAAACGATTCTGTGTGTGTGTGTGTGTGTGTGTGTGTGTGTGTGATACAAAGCGCTATGGCTGGGCTGAATTATTACCATCACCTCGTAAATCAAGCGGAGTGGGATAAATTGCTGAGGCTGCACTGTTTGCTTTTCAGCCTGACCAGTTCAAATCAAAGCACAGATTTGTGTTTCACTCCTCATTGTGTGTTTATAGAGCGCACACTTACGCTGTTCTGTGTTGGCTTCAGCGAAAAGAAAAAGCAAAAGGAGGAAACAAAGCAGGCGTCCTGAAGTTAGGCCATAAAGTGTCCAGAGGGTTTTGACGTAACGCATCACGCTCAGCATGCGGGTGTGCATTAGTGAAGCAATTGGGTTTTTATTGGTCGTGAAGAGCTGTCACATACCTTTGAAAAAGACAAATTTGCCATCGTGGCGTTCGTAGGCTGCGTCAATGTCACTGGGGAGACCAATCCAGAAGACGGAAATCGGCATGGGGTAGTTATCCAGGACACGGTTCCTCCGCACCCGCCAGAACCAGCGACCCTGCAAAAGCAAACACAAGTGTTAAGTTCTGCTTGTTGTTCTGTCTAAAGCCCTTTTCAGACACGGGAGAGGTAACGTTGCTGAAGTCACGGCTTCATTCAGACATACCAGTAACTGAGAAGGTTAATCCATAGTTGTCATATGCAGAGACTGGACAGAACATCAGGGTTCAAGGAGCTCCTAATAAACCCGAACTAACAGCACCAAAAAACGTTGTGTACTTTTTTACACTTCAGACATTTGAGCTGTGACACTCAGTTTATAAGCTGCAGTTACTTGTGACAGGCTGAGTCCTGACCTCCATCACAGCTATCAGGGTCATATTTTACTGCAAAAGCGAGATCGGTTCACTAAAGTTTAAATATTTTTTGGTTATATCAGGTTTTATTTCACAAAGAGACAGGAAAGTGGGGGAGAAGAATGGGGGGAAGGACTTGCAGCAAAGGGGCCATGAGCGGGATTCAAACCCACGGCCGCTGCATCAGGGACTACAGTACATGGGTCAACCAGTTGAGCTGTAGCGGCGGCCCCAGTATCATCCTAATTCCTGATCCCATGGATGTGCTTCTATAAATTAATACAGCATAAAACATGACCTCGCTAATTCTTAAAGCAGTCTCGCTTTGCCAGCCCATTGTGTAGTACATCATGGTCGGGCTGGACCACACCATCATTCTGCTATAGGGGAAAACCGACGCTGTTTGTAGTGCGTGGGTTTGGTGTTCCCCCAAAATAATGAAAGGGGCATTATTGGGGTGGAACGTTTCCATCAAGAAAATCTGCTCTGTGATCAAAATGGATAATTCAGCGAAACACAGCTGGCAGGGCTGCCGGACTGAATGATTCAACTCCTTTGGGAAATTTTTCAGTTTTATTTTCAGTAGGTTGCTGCCTGAAGTTGCTGTTGTTGTTGTTTCCCGGGGCGAAAAACACACATAGACAGTAGAAGGGGGGATAATGCAGGCTGAAGTGATCGGCCAATGGCGGACTTACACCCGCAACCTACATCCGCTGAGTCAGACCTCATTCAAGCAACAACCATTGTTCATCACATCTGTGTGCCGATTCGTTGTTGTGACTCCAGACACGTCAGAGTTGTGCCATAAATGTTATTTGGTTCAATCCAGTCAGAATGAATCACAATTTCTACAGAAAGGTGCTCATTCAGACCCAAAGCAGAAATGTTCAGATGCTGTCAAAGCAAACAGCTTTTCCTGTGTAAAGCAAAGGTTGTCATGCTACAGTGAGGAGTGAGATGCTATCCACACTCTCCTTAATCACCGTTTTATTCCTCACCTTGAAAACAAACATCTCCCCCCTCAGCAGGGTCACTGTGTCAAAGTCCCCGTCACAGATGTTGGGGGGCTGGTTGGGAGGCCGAGGAGGAGCGGGAGGCCTGGGAGGTGGTGGAGGAGGGGGGATGTCTTTTCTGACGGTCGGGGTGACCGGTTCCGGCTCAGGCTTGGACTTGGTGGGAGCCGAGGTGGGGAGGGCGGGAGGCGAGGTGGGGTTCGGCTCAGGTTGGGCTGGAGGATCCGGGCTGGGCGATTCAGGTGGGGGGTCGGTGGGAGAGGAGGAGGTGGATTCATCTTCAGGAAGAGAAGGGGAGGTGGGGGAGTCATCGTCGGGTTCATCGCCAGGAGCGGGAGGAGAGGTGGGCGGAGCATCAGTGACGAGGGGGGGACCTGAGGAAGAAAAGATGGAGGGTTTGAGCTCTGACAAGACGGAGAAGAAAAGGCTGAATGTCACAGCTAAGATGGTCGAAAGGGAAAAACGACTTCCATCTGAATGAATGAATGAATTCCTCCAGTCTGTCTGTCTGTGTGGCAGTTAATAATTCCTTTTATGCTTCCTCTATCCCCTCACAATGTCCGCTCCAGCACAGTGAGGGGAATTTTCCACTTTGTGCCACAAGCTCACTTGACTGAGTGTCACTGTGCTGCTGCTCTTCGGAAAAGAAAAAAAAAAAGTGCTCGTTGCTAAGAGAGGAAAACACACAGATACAGCCAGTTATGTAATACGCATGGACAGCTGATGGGCTTGAAGATGTATTGAGTTACACCAAGCCAGAAATACTGCTAGGAATATATGGAGGCCAGTGCTGGCCGGTGACTCAGCTAACGGCATGCGGAAAAAAATATCAGCATCTGCAGCATTTGAACTTTCAGCACGGTTTACGGTCAACAGAGGTAACCGAGCCTGTGTTTGTTTCTAGGGCTCTGCATCTTCCAGTGGGGTCTTGGTGTCTTCAGCAGGTCCACCATACTCAAATTGTGTGGGAGTATATGGATATGGATCTCTTAATTTGTGTACTACTTTAATTAAACCATATTGGACTAATCCTGATATGATACTGTACTTTTAAACCACAAAGACACAAACAGACCTATTTAGTTGACTACTTTCATGAGAGGACAACAGAATTTATACCAGCTGCTCACAGGAAGAGTGTCTCACCGCAAAAAAAGGGACATATTGTAAAAATGAAAGCCCTGTATAGTGAAAAACAAAGAAAAATACAGCTCAAACATCAAATCTCTGAAACTTTAAAGTAGAATTAAAGCTACAGATGGAAGACAGAGTCAGCTCTTCGACAGCATACGACTAATTATATCCGATATTTCCTCCCATCAGGTCTACCTCCAAAGACACTCCTCAAGAATACGAAATCGTGCACTGCCTGAGCACAGCTGGAGGAATAATTCAAGACAGAAAGCATCAGTAGGGAGAGGAGCACGGTGCTTAAAACTACCTGAACAGGCCACATCCTCACGTTCACAAAATGTCCCATTTCAAAAACACCACAAAGCACAAAGACAGCAGATCAGAGTGTGCAGGCTGGCAGGTATGTAGGTAAACTGGCAGGAAGGCCTTCTAGTCATGTCATGCGGACCTCTGACTGACTTTCTATTATCAAAACACTTCATGCACTGATTGCTGCCAAGATGTAACTCAACAAATCGTCTGGAACACATTGCTTACTCCAGCTTTAAATATTTTTTGTAAATACAACACTGTCTTCTAAAAAAACAGCTTATTTACACATCTGCTCGATACAGAGCAGCATTAGAACTTATTCGTGGTCAGTTTTATTGAAATGTGGTGAACGTACGTCTGGTATTCACTCTCCTTTCAGCTCTGATTTCTCTCCACCAACTCCAGAATGAAACATCTTTCTCTTTCACCAGCCAGTTTCTAACTTTGTCTAGTAATTATTTGGTGTTGTGAAGGTAATGAAAGGTGTGTGAAGTGGATTGTTAAAGTTTGTCAGCTGAAATTAGCAGCCTGCTGCAGCTGAAAAGCAGAGTGACGAGAGAAGAATTACAGCACGTAGTAGTAATTTTATCACCTTGAGTGACTCCTTTCACATTACAAAGTCATTTGATTCATTGTTTGTATAAAATACCATTTAGTGAACTATTTATGCTGAGTTTTGGTTTTACTGCATATTTTTAGCTCTGTATAAACAGTATGTTGTTGCATTTGAATGTCAAGTGTTTTAAAATGTCCTTAAAAATAAAAAGTGCATTCAGAATTTAGCTGCATATGCTACAGCAAAAATAGTCCCACAGTAAGTAGGTGAGCAGGAATAAGTCAATAGTTCTGTTAAATCCCGATGGTTCAGTCAACCGATGAGGACAAACTGGCCTGTGAGGCCTGAAACTGCAAAGCCGCCGGCCTCTTACATAAAAACCCCGACAAAGGAAACCAAATGTTTATTTCTACCAACAAAGTTTATGCTGCGTTGGTCTCTATTTTGAGTCATCAGATCCTTTTCTCCTCCAATCAGAGGCTTCCTCCAACACAATCCTTTATATCTGTTTGATACAGGAAACTACTGTATGATTTCAGACACAACATTTAGCTGACAGTATTTGCAGCTCAAAGCCGACAAGATTCTTCATGTCCACTCTGCCAAAACAGCACAGAGTAACCTGGTGCAGCTTCAGGAGTAGGAGTATCAGCAGGTCAGAACTGCGGGGGTGTGGAAAGTTTCTGAGTTTGCTGGGAGAAACTAAAACCATGGACAACATTCCCAAACTGAATCAGATTTCTGATTTGTTACGCGATGCCAGAGATGTGACGAAGACAAAACCGTGAACAGTGAAGACAATGTGAAAAAAGGAAGGCATGAACCTTTTTGGAAAACCCTTGTTTTTATCTAAAGCAAAGAAATAATCTGTCATTAAGTGTAAACAATGTCTGTAAAGAATCTGCAAATGATTTGGCCAAAAATTGCAGCTCTAAAAATGGAGCCACTGCCGGAAAACAGCAGCAAACACACACAGTACACGGTAATACACACTGACGCTGTCTCGAACCAACACACACGCACACAAAAAAATGTCATGTCAGTTAACAATGCCCTCCATTCACTGAGAAAGAGATGAAAACATCATAATGGCATGCATGACATGCTCTTTGGAGTGAGGTCCACTGCTGTGTGTGTGTCTGCCGCAGATGCCCAAACGCACAAAGCGTCTTTACAAGGCTTCTCGTCTCGCTTTGACAAAGATCCAGATGTGATACGAGGATGATATACAGTCCGATAGCGGCTCACATTTTGCAATCTGAACTCACAGTGATTTCAGAGTCAACACTGCTCTGAGCACAACATCAGAAAACTTCAGTTGTTTTTCACTCTGTTCCCTGCATGCTGTCCTCAGGCAGGATGTGTCCCAGCGCTACAGCTCCTGGAGACAATCACATTCTTCGAAAGACGGGGTTTTCTTGAAAAGGCTTTCATTGGGCTCGGACAGAAAATTAAGTTACGGACATCAGCTTTTTATCATCAAAATAGAAATAGACAATGAAAACAAACACAAAGGCATGAATGTGTTGTTGTTGTTGTAGTTGTGGCCTTGAACTAATATACTGTGAAAAAGAACACACGAAGGCAAACGGCTGTCTTTTACCATCACAGGGACATTGCTAAAGCCTCATGCAGCCAAATAGTGTTGATAACATTGCCAAAAATGTACATTTATTGCTGCTATTGAAGGTGCTTGAATTGTAAAACTCTGAGTGAGAGTTGCATGAAACGTATTTGGACAAACCCTCCATGATGACACCCATTGGTTTCCTGAACAGCTGCTGTAAAGCTCTGGCCGTCGCCATCATGGATGTACCTGAACAACACCCAGCTAATCCAAAATGAGCAAACATGTGGGGCTTCTCTTAATTATGCATACTTTAAGAGTTAATATATTTCAAATGGTTGAACCTCACTGCTGTAGAGTTGCCATTAATAAGGAAATTAGCCAAAGAAACCAAACGTGTTTCTCGTACAAGGCTGTAAAAATGTCTGTATGTGCTGTAAAGTTGGGAGTCAATGAAGATGGAGTCGCTTTTGGAGGCAGCCTCAAGCAGCCTTTTGAAGACCTGCAGTTTTTGGCTTCATTTTTCACCCCTGAAGGTTGCTGCTTGAAGAACAACAGAACTATACTGGACATGTGTCTTAGCATAATTCACCAGGAGGCTTATAATCACAATTAGACTTAACTTGGCTTCAATGAACACATGCTGACAGATGCAAATTCATTCGAGTTCTACTATTTAGGTCGCATTGTGCTATTTTCATATAATCCCCTCAGCATACATGGACCTGCTTGACCTCTGCAGTCTCCAGCGAGAGACACAACATCTTTGCAGCTCTTATGTAAAATACGACCATTAAAAGGCAACAGTGGTCTGAAGTCATTTGTCGAAACTCTGCTGGAAGTGGCTTCAAAAAACAGCTTGTACTGCTCAAGACCAAAATAAACACGTGTGTATTCCTCACCATATATGTACTGTATTCCTCTGATGTCGTCTTCATGCAGTGTGAAGTTTTTGGTGTGGGTCCACTGGTAGAAAGGAGCCATCGTAGCGCTGGGGTTATCTGAATGTTCCAGACCCAGAGCATGGCCAAGCTCATGGACAGCAACCAGGAAGAGGTCGATGCCTGCAAGACAAGCGAGAAACAAACAGAATTAAGGGTTTCTGAGTGACTATTATTGGTGAAAGATTTAAAACTTGCATCATACTATTTGTGTAAAATAAAACATAACTAAGAAATAGAAGAAAATTCGACCTTAGAGCATGTGCAAATGCAAAGTGCCCACAGAGGCAATGCAAATATTTCAGTTTGTGCAAAGATGGTGCGAGCCTTAACTGAAGAGAACAAAAATGCTGAATCCTGTTAAAGTTCTCAGCTGGTCACGCGGTGAACCTTTCAGGTTGCAGTCCAGCTGATCAGAAGAGACAAACCACAGAAACCCAGCTGATGATTTGAGGGAAAAAGAAGGTAAGAACATCCACTGACCTTTTGGGTTTTCATTGTCAAGTGTCCAAGGCTCATCTGCATCAAAGTGCGTATCGCCGCCAATTCCTGGTCCAGGATAGTAGGCGTGGGCCAGCGACCCTCCCTCGCCATCAAACAATGACATATCACCATGGAAACCAGAGGCGAACAGCAGCAGGATGTCAGCAAGCTCCGCCTGGCTGCCGTTGATGCTGTTTACAGCAGGTAGCTCCTCAAAGGTGAGCGGCGTGACCCGCCTCCACACGGCAAAGGCCTTGCGGATCGCGTCGTACGTGCGCTCATCTCCCAGCGAGGAGGGGATGTGTTGGTTCATTATGCTGAAGCCATGAGAGAGGGCATGTCAGAGCCGGTAAGTAAAACAAGCTGCTTGATTTTTTTTTCTATATCTCAGGCCTGCAAACCTGTAAGTGATGTGGTCTCTGTCCCACTGCTGTCCGGTGAGAGCGTAGCGTTTCTTCCTCGCTCCGTCCACCAGCTCCTCTGCTTTTCTGTCGGGGAGTCCACAGCGAGGCCGATGCATGGCCCTGCAGCCAAACACAACCACATGACAGAACGTTAGCTGCAAAGTGTGGCTGCACAATTTAACTAAAATGAAAGCAGCATAATGACAGATTTCCATCAGGACATCAAGGTAACAGTTGTACGTACATGTTGCTGTAGCTTTTGTGTAAGATATTTTCTATTTTGTTCTTTAGTATCTTTACTAAAAGGATCTTTTTGTACTCAACTCTGCATTTTAGCTCCTTTTTGGCATCTGAAAGTGGAAACTGTGAACCAGCTCAGTCGGTTGGGTTGGAGTAACAGTTATTTTGCTTTAATGCCACAAGTTTAATTAGAATTTTGATACCACTCGCATCTCTGAATGGCAAACATGATGCTACTACCAGCACCTGGTTAGCCTAGCTTAGCATAAAGGTAGAAAACCTGAGAAACAGACAGACTGGCTCGGCCCAAAGTTACCATGCTGGTTAATGAGTGTCAAGGTGCTGAATGGTGAACTTTCTTAAGTTTGCTCCCCTCTGTCTCAAGACTTCATGCTAAGCTAAGCTAACCAGCTGGTATTTGTAGCTTTATTTCAGCTGCTAAGACATGAGAGTAAGTGACATCAATCGAATTGTTCCTTTATGATCTTATGTTTTAAAAACTGTGCAGAACGAGAACAAAACCCAGCGAGGTCAGCTGAATGTGAAGACATGACAGGAAGTATAAGCAAAATCAGACCGTCACCTTATCGCTGTGAAACATAATTAAAAAATGGCCCTCTGCAATAAATGACATCATGGTATGTGTTTGTTGAGATGATGATTGTTACTCTGCATGTCTGCAAGGAAAACATCCTGCAGGCTGGAGAAGAACATGGAGCTTACGCGACAGTGGCAGCGTCCATCTCACCGGTCACCTCCAGCCCATAGAAGCGCTGCATGTCGCTGACGGCTTTGGACAGAATCTGAGCCGACTGCATGGTGGACATCTGTCTGCTCGCCTGAGACAGGTAGCCGAACTGACGAAGCCACGCCTGCACGAACAAAGAGAGAAGATTTCTTAGGCAAGCCTGAAAAAAGAGACCAACATGTGTGTGTTTTTATAGGTCAGCGATCCGTGGTGTGCTGTATACATGAGTATGACAGCTACAGCTGCTGGGAGAGAGGCACTGTTATGCTAATCCAGGAACAAGCCACTGCCTGATGACTGGAAAGAGCATCTGAGGAGTTAAAAGAAAAGAGAAAGAGAGGAGATACAAAACAGATGGCTTGCATTAACATTACGACATTCCTGCTCTTTCATTCCTGCACTGACAGCCAAGATGAGGAGAGGAGAGGAGGATGGAAACAGGAAAACTAAAAGGTTCTGGACAAGAATTAAACTGTGTGTCAGTCGTGTGGTACACGAGATAAACATGCAGCTCTGCAGGCATCCACCGCTCACGGCCTGACAGTGACACATGTTGAAGTTTCCCTTCTTTGTTTCGTGTTTGCTGACAGTGAAATTGAGCATTCAGAGCCACGTAGTCGAGCAAACAGGACGATGGCTTCTGAGGAGGAAAGTCAAGATCTGCCCTTCAAGAAGCCTCAGCAGCAGCGCTCAAAGACAACAGCTCAGGCCGCCTCACACAGCTGGACACAGGCTTTCATGTATGTACTGTATGAAAACAGGCCAAGAGCAAAGCACACATGTCCAAGACACACCTTCATGCTGTGGATTTCAGAGACTATTTCCGCATAGCAAGACAAGCTTCAACCCATCTAGTGGGTTTATTCATGCAAGTGTCTGAAGAACATGAACGAAGGGAAATGAAACTCCGTCGTAAAGCAGGGCTGTGAAAAATAAATGAAAACATTTAACATACATACATCAAAACATGAAAAACCTCACTGACTTATCTGATCAAATCAGAATAATGAGTCACAGCTGGACGGTGTGATGGAGATGCAGGATGGCATCATTTCTGTCTCTCTGCTGTTTCAGCAAATTTACAAATAATTTGTGACAGATTGCTTCAGTCAGATCTGTATTTATCAGAAATGTCTGGTTGTGTGCTCACACTGAGGTCTGAACTGATCCATCTGAGCAAAACAAGACAATTCAGGTTCAAAGGCTGATAGCAGCTCCACTAACAAACGAACCGAAGCTGCCTAAAGTCTCTCTCTGGTTTCTGAATAAACTCCTTAAAACTCTTCTCTGTGTATCAAAGTCGTATATTTAGCAGTTGTTTTTCATAAAGTGGCTTCGATGTGCCTCCTTCTCCACTCACTGCAGCCTGAGCACACCATCTCACCTACAACACAGTCAATCTACTCTACGTTACACAGCGGAGAGTGATTCAGTCATACATGTTAAAACCCAGAGAATTCTGAATAAGGACGCTGATTTGTCCAACGCCGTAAACCGACAGGATTAGTTTCTGAAGGCTGCTACATATGAAACCCCAAAAGTCTGAATCTGTGATTTTGGCTGCAGGTTCAAGGTGGAAACGCTCAGCCAATGTTTGTTTCACTCATGATGTGTCTTCTATAAAAAACACAACATGGACCTGGCTACAAGGAAAAACACTAGATTTCCACCAGGAGGGGTAAGCAAGTAGACATAAAGGCTTTTGTGAGGTTTTTGTCATCTTGGTGTTGTTGAGGACGAATCTTTTTTTATATTCCACTGCCCTTTGTACAGCGACTTGATTAACTGGTTGTTTGATAAGATCCACCTGAAGAATCCTGACTTGTGTTGGCTGTCTGAGGCTGAAACATTGAGTTATATATGGTGATTTATAAAAGAGGACAACCAGCTGCAGCATTTGTAAAACGAGTGTTTTGAAACGTCTTTTTGGAATTTGTGGAGCTGTGCATTATGACTCCTCAAGTTGCCATCCGGATTATTGTTAAGTAATCCCACATGGGAGAGGCAGGAGGAAAAAACAAACAATCAATCAATACACAGCAGTGTAGAGATGCCTAAAAACACATCATCGTGTCGTGTTAACGGCTGTTTCAGAACTTCCTTCGATCCACCACAACTAACCACTCGTTATTTCCAGTGTTTTACATATGAACCCACGCCTCAGTGAAGCCTTACAGCGAACACATCACAACATTAACCGTTCACGCACAAGTCAGCATCACTCCAACCGTTAAACGCTCATGAGGCCATGTGGTCGAGATGATTTCATGCTTCACCTTTGATGTACAATGCAAAGACATATGTTATGATTCTAAGTGCCATATTTTACACGTTTTTCACAGTTGAATCTGTAACTGTTGACAAATGCATTTATATGTACGCACACTTCAAAACGTGTACAGACAACAGACAGATAGGTTTACATGTGTGTGCCACATGTGCAGAGTGTTATTTGGAAAAAAGACTAAAGGTCAAATGGCATCCCTGCAGGGCCACCTCTGGTTTTGTCTTTGCTCTTGTTTGCTCCTGTGAAACTACACTCATGCAATGAAATGCAGGTTAAAGAAGGATTTCCTTAGTTTTATATTGTGGTGACTGCAAAGACACAAAGCGTGAACATAACAGATTGTGTGGTGTACATGGAGGTGACTGTACCTCAGCGCTGAAGCCTTCTTCTTCTGGGACATCAGCCACCGTGCTGCACAGGATCAGGGAGGTGATGATGAAGATCTGTAGAGATGTCATCTTTCTGATCTGCTGATGGTTGACTGATGAGGATGAAGGTGGCAAATAAAAAACAAACAAACCAGGAAACTTCCTTCGAGCAGCAGATATAAGTGCAGGAGGCTTTTCTTCTCTTACATTCAGTCACAAACTCTCAGCCAGCGAGCTATCTGCTCATCTTTGAAATGGAAAAGCCTCAAAAACGTGACACCGAGTCTCGCAGAAGATCTAAAAGTGACACTAATCCGTTGCTGTTGGCAGACAGTCCGCGGTGACCTGCAGCAGCCTCATGGCTCATCGCTCATGCGGCTGTTTCCTTCAGCAGCCAGCGGCCACACCGACAAAGTCCTTGCCCCCTTTCCGACGTCCACAAAGGCTGATCGGCAGCAGCGGATCTCAGAGACAAGTCGGGCAACAAGTCGAGCAACAAGTCGAGCAACAAGTCTCTCCCACCGTCAGTCAGCAGCGCGCGAGAGGTGGCTCGAAATTCAAGCAGTTTCTCAAGTTGATGGAAAAAAAGAAAAAAAAAACGCAAAAAGATCTGAAGTGAGCAAAGCTATCAGGTTTCTTCTGCAGCGTTTCGCACAAGTTGGAGCTCTTCTGGCTTCAACAACCAGCAGGAACGCGATGAGCAAATGTTTGGGAGCCCATCAGATAGATGTGTGATAAAATATTTGTCCGTGATTTCCTACGAAGAGGGCCTCCTTCCTCTAATAGAGCTGACCCACATCAGAGGGAGGAAGAAATCAGTGGTTAGTGAGCCATCTGCTGCCTTCATCAGGAAGTACAGCTGCTCCCAGACCACCACAGACCACCACAGAACATCCAGGGTCTGGAGGTCTGTGAGGCCACATGTTTGGCATCAGAACCAAAGTTTGGCATAAAAAACAAAACTTGGATTAAAAAGTGAAAGATGTTTTTTAACCTCAGTCAACTGATTCCTGTAAATGCCACGGTCTTACTGCTGTAGAGAAGGCATCATATGAAAACAAGAAATTATAGAAATGTTATCTGCATATAGTGCTGCAGAAAACTTCCATCCAGTCTCTGCTGTTGTCTTATTGCCATGTTCTGATCCACCGAAAGCAGCACAGACATGTTTCTCTCTGTTAATAGACTTCTGGAGGATATTTTATCTGCTTTTTTGCAGTAGTACGCGTAAATTATCTTTATCTCCTTATAGTTTTGTTTCATTTCATCTCATTGTGGTCATTTTGGCTCAACTTTTGCTAATTTTGCATCTCTAAATAGTTGTTTTTGTTCACTTTGGTTTAATTTAGGTTTCATGTTATTAATTTCAGGGCTTCTTGTTTTTATTCTGCACCTCTTTATGGTTATTTTGTGTCTCGTTTTGGTTGTGTTGCCTCTCTTTGTAGCCGCCCTGTTCCTCCCTTCTGTGCTCCACATTCCATGTTTAAAATTCAAGCACTTAAGAATTCACTTAAGCGTGCAGGCGTTGATACCCAGTCAGTTCTCTCACAGTTTCAAGTCTGAAACCTGCTGAAGATTCTGTGAGGAAGCTGCTGTTAGAAAAGGTTCAAGTATGACACAAGTCTGAATCATTTACATTTGACATGATTTATTAGCCAGAAACTGTAAAAAACAGAAAAAGTTGATGCTCAACTCACCAACACCCCGTGAACTAATCTTGTGTGACTCTGAGTATTAAACAGATCGAGGCTAATATATACAGCTGAAACCAGAAGTTTACATACACTGTACAAAAAGATGTAACTTATTTTTTTCTCACTATCTGACATTAAATCAGACTAAACTTTTCCTGTTTTAGGTCAGTTAGGATTACCTAAATTATTTCTATTTGCTAAATGCCAGAATAAAGAGTCAGATTTTTTTTTAAAGATTTTTTTTATTTCTTTCTTCAAAGTCAGAAGTTTACATACACTGAGGTTACATTAAGGCAGCAGGTGACACCACACCTTCACCTGCTGCCTTCAAACTATTTGGGAAAGCCCAGATGATGATGTCATGGCTTTATAAGCATTTGATTGGTTAATTGACAACATCTGAGTTAATTGGAGACATAATAAAGAAAAAAAAACTTCTAGATTATTTTATAAAAAATGAAAAATACTGGAATCACCATGTACGACATTTTACCAATCCCACATACTATAGATATTTAACTTTATAATCTCTACAGACTCTGTGTTTTTCACATTACTCTACTCACCAACTCTACAATACTTAAACCATGCTGAATGTATCTTCCAGCAGCTTGCTGACAACTTGTTCATCTGTATATCATTTTTGAGATGTGCTGTGTTTATATGTGCTGTGCCTTGGATCTGCTGTGTGCAGACACTGTGGATGCATATTCCTTAATTATTGTTATTTTCTTCTACTTTCTATGTTTTTGGATGCTGCTGTTCACAATAATTTCCCAGGTCTGGGATAAATAAAGTCTAGTCTATTCTATTCTATGTTTTATTTTTCTTTCAGTCTCTCTAATTAGTTTCTGTACTTGTCTCCTCTCTGCTCTGTATAAATCCAATCTGTAGCTCAAATAAAAAGTCACTGAACTCCTTTGAGAAAAACAATCCTGATAAAGTCAAACCTTATGCCAGACTGGCATATAAAGCTGCTACTTAAACAGTGAAGACCTTGTCAGTCTTTCCTGGATTGGCACCAGCCGTCTGCCTGCATGGTCCCAAAGAAGACCTCCATCATTGCTGTGAAGAGTTCTGAGACATCCCTCTGCAGGTCTCTATCTAAGGCTGGTTAATCCATCCAACAGTTTATGTTGTCATGTCATGGAAGACCTGAGTCAATGAAAGCATCCACCATATCAGCTGAATACAAACCAAAGGTCATTTAATGCATTTAGAGGGTGTGCTGTAAAGACATGCAGTCGTGCACTCTGCTTCGGTCCAGGCACGTATTGAAGGAACCGTCCTGATATTCCCTGGTCTTTGGCAGGCTTTGAGTGAATTTCTGTGATCTTGGGTGGAATGTATATGGCAAGGTTTCAGGCGTTGGAGGTAGACGACCGTAGTCGCTGGATGTTGTCCTGTACATGATATCTCTGAGCTTTGCTGCTGCTGCTGCTGATGCCACACCTTCACCTGCTGGGTTCATCACGCTGGAAGAAACTTGGCTTCCAGCGTTGGCGCATGTTTTCATAGTTTCTGTCTTCAGCTTCTGAGAAACTGACATCATTGCAGCACCTAAAGACAAAATTAGATATCTAGATTTAAAAATGAATGACTCAGCTTTGGTTTAAGATTACACATGAGAAAGCTCATTTGAGTCATCATCCATCCATCATCTATACACCACTTAATCCTCACTAGGGACGCCTATCCCAGCTGACTCAGGGTGAAGGCAGGTTCACCTGGACAGGTAACCAGTCTATCACAGGGCTACACTTCGAGACAGACAAACAAGCACACTCACATTCACACCTACGGACAATTTACAATCACCAACTAACCTCAAGATGTGAGAACCCACGCTGTACAATGAGAGCATGCAAACTCCACACAGAAAGAACCAGGGATATTTTAATCAACATCTATAGTAAAATTGACTGTTGAAGGGACGCTCTCTCTCTCTCTCTTTTTTTTCTTTTTTAACTAATTCTTCCCTCTGAAATCAAAATAAGGCTTTTCTATTTATACAACATGTCTAAAGCAACAGATGTTGACCCCATTGAGCCCAAGATAGAAATAATTACAAAACAATGGCCTGAAATGTGCAAAACATCCACTTAAAAAGCAAAACACCTAAAAGAAAAGACAGAAAACATTGCTTTAGGACAAACATAGCCTGCCTAGAGTTTATTTCAACGGAGGCACTGTTCAAACACAGTACAGCGTCTTTATGCACACCTTCTCCTCAGCGGGGCCTCCAGCCAACTGATCAACATTCATTATATCCAAGTGTTTCAATCAATAAAGGATCAATAAAATCAAATATATTATATTCTGATAGTATAGTTACAATTCCATATTAAAGAAAACCACAAATCATCCTTTAAGAACTTAATCTTTCATCCACCAGTGGCAGTATTTATGGTTCATGACATGAAAATTATTAAATTCTAACAAGGGAATATTAACACACATACTCGTATTTCATCATATTCCTAAAATTAGAATAACATTTTTAAGAAACAACTATTCACAACAACAATGGGGAGGCTCACATACCTGTTCAAAAATAAAATATCACAACAGCAGCCTTTCTTGACCTGGCTTCTTCATGCACACCTTTAAAGAAGACGTACAAGTCATTAGAAACCACCTGCAGGCTGCAGCGACCTGCTCCAAACCCGTTAATGAGCTGCTGCACTTCATAAAGCAGATGTACACTCAACTACCAGTTAACACGAGGCCATTAAACAGCATCTGTGAGTTTAACAAAATCATCTTTTAAATATTTAACACTTGTAGCGTTTTCACATCACGGTGACAGGCCAACTTTTTGAACTCACTCTTCTCCGACTTAGAAACGACCGCAAACGGAGAGATAATAAGGTCACCGAAAAACCGGAAGTCATTTAAGAAAATAAAAACTTCCCAAAGAAAAGACAAAAATGCATGGACATTTATATGAAAAATACGATACAATAATAATGAAAACATATACATTGGAAAGTGGGATGGAGTTTGGTGAAATACAGCACAATATTTTAACACACTTGTGACACAAACACAACAAAATACCGTTTACAAGGAGATCCCCACAGTTAATATTTAGCTTCGGTGAGATTTTGGTACCAGATTTACTGTCAAAAAATCTAAATGAATCGCGATTGCCCAGTCGATTATCACGTTAGTATACTTACATTCAAATGGAAGAAATCAACAAAGTAAAATCGTCGTCTCTTTCTGGTGAGCGTCCGGTTGCTATGGAGACCTGAGGAAGGAAGACGTCAGGATGTGGAAAAACGGAAATTTCTGAATTTTGAATAAAATCAATTCAAAAAAATGCACAACAATTTAAATAGCAACTACATATTTGAATTATTAAATAAAAACATTTAGAATGTTTTATTTTTCCTAGTTACATTTAGTACGTGATTGCGTCATTGTTAACGTCATCACAAAGCGTCGCGTCGTTACGTACAATTATCGCACCGACTGTTTTCAAACGGCTAAAAATAATATCAGCATACAGCCCGTATTGTCCACAAACTTTGGCGGAGTTCGCTGCCGTCGCTGACACGTTGTTTAGGAGGCCAGCTGGTGTATTTGTAAAAGTAGTAGAGCACTTTGGCTGGCTGCGTTTACTTTTTGTCTGTTTTTAATTTGACGTGTAGCCGCTAGCTTACGGTGAGAAGCAGACCTGAGCAGCTCGACTCGGAGTCTTGCTCAGAGGATGGACAGCGAAATTCAACGAGACGGGAGAGTGCTGGACCTCACGGATGATGCCTGGAGAGAAGACAGGCTGCCGTATGAAGATGTCACCATCCCCTTGGTAAATGCTGTGATTGCTGGCCATTGATGCTCATTAGCATAAGCTAGTTTTGGCAGGATTTGGTCACAGTCAGCTGCAGTAATTTCTCGCCTGAATTTAGCTACAACAAGAACATGTGGGAAGTTTCTTCAAGACTACTGCTGTTAATTTAACTTTACTATTGACTGTACTATTTAGTGAGAACAAAACAATGGTGTACAATGAATCCACACGTGGATTGAAGATCTCACTCTGCTTTATTTTTCTCTTTCTAAAATGTGTTGATTATTTGGTGTTACAGCAATCCAGGGAGTGTGGTTTAGAGATTAGAGATTCACCATATCTTCTTTCTTATTGCTGGTGACAGTATCCCTGTTTCAGCCTCAAAACATATAGACAGGTGATAAGTTAAGTTAAATAAAAACCTGAGCTGCCCCCTACTGTGAGGGCTTCTGGTGGCTCTGTTATGCTGTAGGTGATATTTTGCTGTCATGGTTTGGATCCACTTTCTTCTTGCGAGGAAGGACTCCCTCTTAATGGATGCAAAGCTCTTCTGAGTGATCTTCCTTATTCTGTAATGAAACATTTCTGTCCTGATGGGAACAGTTCTTCCCAGGATGACAGTGACCCCATCCATAGTGCGTAAGGGCTCAAGGAATGTTCTGATGAGTATGACATTGATGTAAATCATATACGATGGCCTTTACAGTCACCAGATCTCAAACCAATTGTATGCATATGGAAGATTTTGTGCTGAGATGTTAGACAGTGCTCTCCACCTCCACCACGATCAAAGCATGAATGAATGTATGAATGGTGTTCAGTCCCCTAGTGGAGATCCAGAGACTTGAAGAAACACTGCCAAGGTGCACTAAAACTGTTCCTGTCACCCAACACCTTGCTAAGACAGGGGCAACTTAGACATTTTGTTAATTTTTAGCTTGTCACCTGTCTATGAAAGTAAATACACTACCTGAAATATCTGTCTCTGGTGGTCTCAGAGTAAGGATTTGACACTCTCTCTGTAATGGCATGGCTTTGATTCCCAATCAGAGAACTTCATTTTGCATGGTGCCATGTAGTGATGCAGCACCTTATAAAGACAATAATTGGTCACCTGTCTACATGTAGCATTTGCTATTCTGCCTTGGCATACTTTTGGCTTAAAAATTCACCTTTTTCTGGCATTGAATGCTGACATGTTACCATTGTTACCACTTCAGTCAATAATCAACAGCCATATGCTTCTGCCTAAACATCTGATAAGAGATATTTCTGCTGTTTTGGTTGAGCCTCTCTCAGCTATTCTTGGTTGCTTAATAGTGTTACTAAAGTAAATGCCGCTACCTCTCTTAATTTAATGGGGCCTTGTTGTCTCTGTTCTTTTCCAGAGTGAACTGCCCGAGGCTGAGCAGGACAATGGAGGATCTACAGAGTCAGTGAAGGAACAAGAGATGAAGTGGACAGACCTCGCCCTGCAGAGCCTGCACGAAAACACACCGAGCACTGGAAGCTGAGAGACTAATCTGAGATCGGACTGTAAAAATGCAAAAAGACGCAAACATGCTGACACTGCATTCAGACACATGTACATGATTGTATCTGGACAGATTTGCGGTATGTTACACCTGAACAATAAAGATGCACAAATGTTTTGATAATTTGTAGTAAGACAAATGAGAACTTATTGCATCCAAATATTTTTGCCTCTATCGGCATGTTTATTGGCACATTCCCAAGACTTGTGATAAATCTGTCTGTCAGCTATTATTGTTATAAAACCAAAATGCTTTGTCCTCATGAATCAAAACATCGTGTTGACGGCTGGATGAATACAGTCCCGGATGTAAATAAGCCACGCGTCCCACCTTGTTAGACCAAAGCCCCTGAAATGTTGAACTATTTGCTCATAGTTGTTTCAGACCCACAGATTGTTGTGTTATTCTGTTCGATCACTGAGAGCAGCTCCTTTTAGCTCAAGTAAGGAAGGGATAGCACTCAATATATCCACTCTATATATACCTAGGTATAAATTATATGACAAAAAGGATGATCAAAGCTGCTAAAATGCCAAGAGTAGACTTAAATTTTGTGTATAGCACATTTTACACAACAGAAGCTGAGCCAAAGACATTAAATGTTTTATATCAGCATCTGCAAAAAAAAAAGACTTTTGGGAAGCAGTGTCCATGAATCAGCCATTCATTCAGTTATTTATTGCAATCTGGGAAAAAATGGCAGACAAAAAGTTCTACATCACACATGATTCTCTGTGCCAGCTTGCTCAGTAAATCTACTCGCACAACCTTTAAAGCTTTACAGCCCAGAAAGGACAAAAAAGCCACGCTCTGTATTTTTCTTTTTCAGGTTTCTAAACTGAATGGGAAGAAAATTATTGCACAGATGATATGCGGATGAAATACACTGAAAATGTCCATCACAAGGACACAAAGACAACATTTTTGTTAAACTACATCAACAGAAAACATGACAATATATTTTTTTTAAACCAGGCTGCAGCTGCTTGTATTTAGACAGATTCATGTCACAAACACCTAGACTGTATTACAACAGGTAGAATAATTGCAACTGACCTCAACTTTGCCTAACCAGGGATCATTTTAGCCTCCTGCAGTGTATTTAACCAAATCACACCATCACAGTTTCCTTTGGGAACACAGAAAAGCAGTTTTCACATCCTAGCTGTGGATAACCTGTGCTCTTGGTAGTTGGTGTTGCAACTGAGACAACAGTCTCTTGTCTCAGACCTCTCTAGAAACTTCCCCGATGGATTAAAACCAGAGCAGAAGTCCTGATTGTGGCTCCATCATCACTGCGTCCGTGCAGCCTCGGCCATGAGCCTGCGAACGTGGTCGTGCGGCCCATTTCCCAGCAGCGCCGAGGGGTGTCGGTAGGAGCCCCCCAGACGATCCCAAAGCGTGAAGTATTGTCCGTAGTTGTAGTTGAAGTACAGGTGATGGTCTACATGGTGAGCGGCGCCGTTGATGAAAAATATCAGGTGGCCCGGGAGGCGGTAGTCTCCGTCATGTATGGAAATAGTCCAGACGTTGACGAAGACAAAGAGTGAGAGGTAGACCACCTGCAACACAAGTGTCCAAAACGTGAGTTAAACCATTTTACAGCAAGTGTACCTTCTGAATATCATTTTTTCAGAGCATCCAGAAAAGCTATCCCCCATGTAACATCACAGTAGAGCAGGTGAGGAAATGGACACCTTGTGGAGGGGGAAGATGAACGGGTAGACATGGTAGGGTAAGCTCTGCAGGAAGCCGTCCAGCGGGTGGAAGGCGTGGCTGGCGAACGGTGTAGGGACCTTGAATATATGGTGCTGCTTATGTAAGAGCTGAGGGGAGGAGAAGCACAAATGGTCTGAATTTCAGGAATAATTTACTGGGAGGAGAAAAAAACCATAAGAGAAAGGTTGTTTAGCTGTAAAATAAATTACAGTCAAAACCTCCGACTATAACGGAGGAACGTGACCAATCCAACAAATAGATGTATAAGAATATACAACGTTTCAGATGCTGAGCCCTGATGAGCCAAAAATGGAACATTTCCTTATTCATGGTCACCTCCAAGTAGGACAATTTTGGCGTTTTAGCTGCTAAATGTCGAGATTTGCTAACTTTGCCTGGATGCTGTTTAGCACTGGGCAGGTAGTTTTAAAGATGTTCCACTGCTTTAAAAAGCTGCCTGCTGCATCAGGTAAGAGGGTTCATGGCAGCACTCATCCAAAACAGTAAAGTAATAGTGAAAATGCAGGGGGAAAGAGGAACTGTAGAGTTGTACCCTTTTTATATGAGACAGTCTTTCCATACTTCATCAGTATAAACTCACTGACTGGACCTGGAAGCATATTGAACTCACCTTGTAGATGCTCTTATGGTGCATCCAGCGGTGTATCCAGTAGATGCACATGTCAGTAAAGAACAAGAAGCCAGTGATGCTCAGGAACACCCCTGTCCAGCCTGAAACAGAAACACACTGATCAAGCTATTTACAGCTAAGTTTACAGTTTGTACGTGCACGTTTAACCAACATTTTGAGGATGAGACAGCCTTAAGAAACACCATATGGACATGTTAACAAGGTAAAAACCAAAGCTGAGGATTGAAGATGAAGAAGCGTCGTCTCACCCAGGGGAGAGGAGCTGATGTCGTCGTACAGCTTGCTGTGTCCTCTGACCTCCCAGAAGAAAAGGGCGACAGTAGGGAAGCTCATCCAGAAGATGGAGACAGTTCCCAGCTGGATCTCTTTTCTCACTTGGTTCTATTGTCGGGTCAAAGAGGCAAACAGTTCACATCCTATCTGTTCTACTCTACAGCAGTGAATCCAGGCCCAGTGCATTCTGCAGCCTACCTTAACGAACAGCGGATGCTTCATCAGTTTATGGTCAAACACATAGTAGAAGCTGAGAGCACCGAAGCCCAGGTAAATGAGCAGCGCTCCCAGGTTGGTCATCACCCACAGGCTGATGATCTGACGCACAGCCCAGTGCTCGGGCCACGAGGTCGGGTAGACATACGGAGTGAAGACGTAGTAGTCGGCTATGTTCAGCACGTGATCCATGGCAGGTCTGCAGAGAGCAAAATGTTCAAACCATCACAGAGTAGAGAAAGTAACAGGCTGCTGGTGGTTACTGGTTTGTGTTGGTAGTTACCAAACTGAATAGATTCACATGTATGAGGTACTGCATCGATTATTTCAGTTTAAAATTACAATGCAACAGGAGGGGACATAACTCCAGCATAAGACAATCACAGTAAAGTATCACACCTGCACAGGTGACTGCTGTCCTACTACACCTGTGCAATGATGCTCAATTCTTCCCCCTTTGAGCCCTCTATTAAAACAGCTTTTAGACTAAACACTTCTTACCTTGATCTTGGTTGTAAATCCCTCCAGCCTCAGACCTGATCAGACTCTTGAGTCAGCGATGGCTCCACACCTCTGTTGTAGAGTCGCCACGGTGCCAATCAGTGTGAGAACAGGAAGCTGCAGAAAACAGAGTCAACATGTGGAGTTCATGGAGCGAACACAGAACAAGTCTGTCCAGATGTAGTTCTAGAAATGTCTCAGCTTAATTTTTAGATGTTTGTAATAATTGGTTTTCTTGTATACTCTGCATATGTACACATTTCCAGCATAAGTCCCACTAGCCTGCACTGTGATGCAGTTCTTACTGGTTTAAACGGTAAACAAGCTGGAAGAGAAGCACAACAAGAACTGATTTATTGCATCTGTCGTGACCTGACCTTTTATTTACTGCCTTCTCTAAAATCAAAAGATATCACTCCTGCTTTTAACATTTTTACTCTTAGATTTATGAAACGCAAATTATTCCAAATTATTAATTATCATTTTTATCAGGATTTATAAAAGCGTTCTTTTTGCCAAACTGACCTGCTTCAGGGCTGCAGCTGCACGTCAGACTGGTCTTTCCTAGAAAGTAGACGAATCCTCATTCCTCCACACCGTCTGTCCAACAGCACAAACACATGCTGCCAAATACAGCAAACTACTCTGCGGCAGAACCGCACAATACAAGTTCATGTGTTCCAGCAATTTTTGAAAATGTAAATATCCTTTTTCCTTGAATGTAGCAGAGAGCTGTGGTTTATTGTGGCAGTCGGTCCCATATGGGGATCCAGACACGTCTGTCCTGGTGGAACCAGATCCCAGCCTGCTCAGCAAATAGCAGGCAGCTGAGTGACAGCAACACAGTTCATTTGCAGTCACTTTTGGCTATTTTCAGTGCAGTCTGAAAGAAATACTGTTTCTTCACTGTCACATAGTTAAATAGAGTCCACAAAATGACATGCACTGCGGCTTCCTGCAAGTTATGGTCAGAACAAACAGTAAATCTGATGCCTTTATGCTGTCACACTATCACGACATAAGTAATCTGGAATTGCATCATAGCCACTGAATCATGCGCTGCCAATTTAAAACTACTCTACATCAGTTTTGATGCAAAATAAAATTCCCTTGCAGGATTAAGCGTGTCATGTTTGGTCGTGGCTGTTCCCTGACTCATGCTGTGCTGCAGGATCAAGTTCCAGCTGAACTGTCTGTCCTTTAGTCACACATACAACACGTCTGCACAGCTACGCTTGTTAGGAAACTAAATTAATGTTAATTTACTATAAACAGCCTCAGCATAAATAAGAGATGCGAGTCCAGTCAGAAGAACCACATTCAGTATTTTATTAACAGCACATCTCATCAGATCTGTCGACAACAGCAACCTGCTGCACACAAACATGCGCACACATTCTAGATACAAGTGGATGATGTGATTTCTCATCAGATGAAGACAGACTGCAGACAGTCTGAAGAGGAGGATGAGTGTTTTTATGCTGATGTTTCATGTGTGGCCTTCATCACTTAGATTACAGCAAGCATACGAATATAACTAATGTGCTGTAGAGCTGCTTAAATGTTAGGAGGCTGCAGCACAAGTATTAATGATGCTAAATGTGCTGCATGTGTGTAAGACCATGCTCATCAAGCACTCATAGGTTAGATGTGTCATAGATGCCTTTTTCTTTACATTCCAAGCAGGAAAAGCTCCACTGCCCATATAAATGTGTAACCATCTCCCTCTAGAGCTCTAGAACACAAACTGCACCTGTCTGCTCCTGCTTCATGTCCCATCCATCCATCATCTCTACACCTTAATCCTCACTAGGACAATTTAGAATCACCAATTAACCTCAGCATGTTTCTGGACTTTGGGAGGAAACCAGAGAACCCGGAGAGAACCCACACTGCACGGGGAGAACATGGAGACTCCACGCAAAAAGATCCCAGTGCCCCCACCAGCACGCGAACCAGCAACCTTCTTGCTGCGAGGCAACAGTGCTACCACCTTGCAGCCTCTGCTTCATGTCTTTTTATTCAAAACCGTTGTCCATTTCTCACAGTTTTCACCCCAAATGTGCCAGATTGAAACCCTGAATTACTGTAGTTTTGACTTTTTTGTTTAGGGAAAAATTTGGAGTACAAGTGGGATTCATAAACGAAGAACAAATACCAGATGAATACTTTTTTATTTAAGCTTTTTTGTTTACGCATTTTTTTTTTTTGTGGCCAGAATCCAATTCAAATAGTTTTGACAGACAAATAATAATTTTTGACGTTTGTTATGCTCACAGTACCATACGAACAGTACAATACTCATTATTTAAAGCGGTGTTTGCATTGTGGTAAAAGTGCAAAATAAATTTTACTACTTTAGTGGTGTGTGCCTAATGTACTAAAGTATGTTTAGTAAAAAATAAAATGAAATAAATAAAGACAGAAATAAAAAAACTAACTTTAGTAAACATACGTAAATAAATACTATTACCTAATAATATTTTAAGAAAACAATTGTTAATATTTCTGCTGTCGTGTTTGTTTCTTGCAGTGATTTTTAGTCCTTTTGAGGGTTAAACAGAAAATCTGTGTCATTTTTGCACTTTTCTGTGTAATTTGGTGTCCTGGGAGAGTTTCTGATTTTATATCCAGGTTAAAACACAGCTCTGGGGGCGGAACAAACCTTGTGACTGTCATTTAAATTCACCTGGAATGGGATTCTGTGATTTTTATTTTATTTTTTATTCATTTTTTCTTCTGGTAATTAATATTTTAATTACTGCAACAACAAAAGTCCCCTCATGTCCACGTCCCTTGTTTGGCTCGTCACACTCTGTTTGTTTGAACTTGTCACATGCTACAGTGACTCAGCTCGTTACTCGCTGACACAAAACATGACCTGTGTGGGAACAACGCTCCGCTGCAGCCGGACGGTGGCGAGCGCAAAAGTGCTGCCTTCAGGCTCCAAGTGCAAACTCGTAAATGTGACTATCACAAGGAGCGCGTGGGGCAGCACTATATAGTTAAAAAAAAAGAAAGAAAAAAGTTTTAATATCAACATACACATCTCTGCTTCATATAAACTCAAAATTTGTTTCTAGAACCTTCTGTTCTTGTACAATTCTTCCAAATATAGCAGAAGTGACGTGCTATACCTTAACCCTTACAGGCAACAGACACATACAGTTCCACCTATTGTATGTAATATAGATGAATATTGTATGTGGATCATGTGTGACTGATAGTGACACATCTATCTGTGTAAAAACTACAAAAGGAAGAAAAAAAAGTATTAAATTACATGATAACTGTAAAAAAAAGTAAACAAGCCCAAACTGTAAACGTCAAAAATGTCTTTAACAACATTTGAGTTTTATCTGTTTTAATAAATTACAGAAAATATCTAGTAAAAACAAGTAAATAAAAATAATAATAATAAAAAAAAAAAAACACATGAAAAAAACACCAGGCAAAATGTACACAATGTCCCCATTAAAAAAAATAAAATCAGTTTTAACCATTTACACAGTGTTTGAATGTTACAGCATTCCACTATTTTTTAATGGATTTGTTTCTAACACCCTTGCGGCTACATTATCAGGTTTTTGTTGTTGTTGTTTTTCACAGTGTATTTGACTATTAACTGATTTGTATTAATCATATTTTATTTATTTCCCCACTTCTGTTCATATTTGACACATTTTCTGTCTTTTAACACTTTACTTTTCTATCACCAGCTTATTTTGGTTTGTATTGCATTTATTTATGGTGTTTTCTGTTTTTGTTGACTCTTTCCTTTAACACATCATCATTTATGCGGTTATTGTTTATATTATTTGTTATTCTGTCTGGTTTGTAAAGCACTTTCTGTTTTTCTGTCTGAGTCTGATAGATGTGTTGATCTCTCAGGATTCAGAACAACCAGGATCCTATAATCTACCAGTTTTCTGTCACACTCTGCTCCTACAGTTCTGATTATTTCACACACTTTCTCAGAAACCTCTCTGGCGTAAACAAACACCTAATTTGCATTCCATCCGTGGCACCGTTTGCGCTCCACACCGGACTCTCTTGTGTGGGGACATTTCCCACTGCACACGGTGCGTGAAGGCAGCACATTCCTCGGTTTGCTCACGGACTGCGGCCGGGTGCAGAGCTGCAGGCGGAGCAGCGGCAGCATCAGAACACGGAGGCGGGTCCGCACCGTGTGCACACGTCCGACAGCGCTGGAGACGCCACAAAGGAGCGCCTGTTTGAATTGTGACTGAGCTGAAAATACTCGATGTGTTTATTGTGAACAGCTGAACCTCAAAATCACAATAAGATTCCCTTCACAGACAGCAGGTCATCTGTACATGTGAGGAGCACCTACAGGAGTCGTGTGGATTAAAGACTGTTTCATATGAGTGAATTGGTTGATATTTTCTTCAGTTCTACAGTTTCATTTAGCAGACGCTTTAATCCAAAGCGACGCTCATCTGAGAGCAGATACAACACAAGCAAGGATCTAGTCAGGAGAAAACAGTGTAGATAAGAGCCATAGAACAAATTCAAGTGTGATAGGGTTCTGAAGCCAATAGCAGGCTGTGTGGGAGGTAATAGGAATGTTTTGTGGGAAATGTTCAAGAAAAAGATAAATTAAATGTAATGTAAAAGATAAAATAAATGTAATGTAAAAGGTTAAATAAATGTATTGTAAAAGTTTAAATAAATAGTTTGTTGTTGTAGTTGAAAAAAAACACAGGCTGGAGTTGGATAACGTCACCTAAAATGCAAACAATATACTGACAGTTAGGCAGGAAAATAGATTTCTAGAAGTAATTTCCTTTTATCTGTTACTGAGCAAGATTATATATCATAAATACCTCTGTTTTCATTATCTATATATGAGTATCGTGAACGCATCTTGACCTTATCTACATATTGCTTCCTCTAGTTTATGAATCCGTGCGCAAAAAACTGTGCCATCAGTCATCTTTGCGCGCGTCCTTCAACCACATTAACACGTTTGGATCCACATAAACTCCCTCCTGACATATACATTTATTATTAAATTGATATAAAATATCATCATTTGAGACTCACACGGCATTCTGTGCCATCATGGACTATTGTTGAACTTGTGTAACGATCTGTTCTCATCTCTAAAACGTCTTCAGCCCACATGATGTTGTTGTTGTTGTTGTTGTTGTTTTCAATTCTATGCGTTATTTATTCCGGAGCCCCTTACTCTCAGGGCGATAAACGGGCTCCGGGTGGTCTTACATAACGTCCAGCAGAAACGGCAGCCTGTCCTCGGCTGACTCTGTGCATTTCCGCTGCTCGTCGTGTGCACAAACCTCTGTGCAATCATTTACCGACAGTCTGCGTGACGGACAGACGCGTTTTGCACCCGGCTCTGTTTCCTCCCGGACGCTATAAAACCGCCGCACCTCCAGCAGAAGTCACAACACAACTTGAGACGAAATCAGCAGCTTCATCCTCTGAGGACCAACAACCATCAACCTAAAGAAAATGGACCCTTGCGAGTGCACCAAGAGTGAGTATTCATGCGTTGTTGTTTTTTGGTTTGTCTGTGAACGTTGCTGCTTTTTCATTTTTTTAATTGGATCATTTATTTATGTAGTCTTACTAACAAACTGATCTGTGTTGTCTTCATGTTCAGCTGGATCCTGCAACTGCGGAGGATCCTGCACATGCAAGAACTGCTCCTGCACCAGCTGCAAGAAGAGTAAGTTAAATCCTCCTCCTCCATGATGCACACTGATGCTTCATCCAGACACTCTCAGGGTGACCTTCTCACCCTCTGTAGACTAAATCTAAACTTCCTCAGCACACTGCTAAAACCTACCAGTGATTCATCATTCCTCCTGCATTTAATTCTTTATTTGTAGTTATTAATATACTGCACAGGTGGCCTCCATTGGTTTAACGAGCTCTCACCTGAAATGTGTAGATTCTGATTAACTCTATCAAGCTGAGTGTAGCTTATGTTCTGTCCCTTTAACATGTTGTAATCAGCTGACTGGTTGCAGCTTGTGCCAGCTCTTTATTGTAATCAGTGCTTTGTTCCTGGTTTTTAATGTGGCCTCCACTAACCAGCTCTCCTCTTCCTGCAGGCTGCTGCTCCTGCTGCCCATCAGGCTGCAGCAAATGCGCCTCCGGCTGCGTCTGCAAAGGGAAGACCTGCGACACGAGCTGCTGTCAGTGAGGAGCCTGCAGCTGCAGCGCCATTCCCTCGTCCTGCACCTTGTGATGAATCCTGTGATCTACTGAATGATTAAATATGCTGATCTCTACATGATAATCTCTTTTGTACTTGTCTTTAATGTTAAAAAATAAATCTTGATTAATGGAAGCAGTGAGTCTGGTTTTGGTTTTAACTTTTGTGGTTTAATGTTTCAATGTATGAAATGAAAATGATGTGCTACAGCAGGTCATTTGACCACAACTAGGCTCATGGGAAGGTAAAAGTGAAACTCAAATATTCAAGCTTGAGTCCATAGTTCAGCATTTTTCTTTTTCAAAATGATGCTGGTAGATGATAACAAGGTGGCGGGTCAACCTTTGAACCTTTAAACTACAGCTGTGGGAACAAATAATCCTACAGAGCATGTCAACACGATGGTGACGATGCCAGTGTTTCAGCAAATCCTTAAATGTGTACAGCCAAGTCTTGGTTCAGACATCTTAAATATAAACCCCCAACCTGAAACACATTTTATCTGCTTCACCCTTTTGTAAAATACAAGCCTGGAGAATATCGTAGATCTGTCATCCTCGCATACATTTCTGGCCCTTCACATTTATTCTAGGTCATGTGAAGTTTTAAAGGCAATAAAAACGGTTTGTTTTGACCTCCGGAACCTTCAACCAGGCGGAACAAAAAACGACACAAGGTTTCTCTTAGGAACGTTAACAGCGACGCACACCGGAAGCGTTGCGTTGTTTGTGTGTTTGAGGGAACTTTTCTCACAGAAGGCTTGTTTTCCGTCGTCATGTCGGGTCGCTGATAAAGTTTAATGAGAGTTAACTGTTATTAAATACATCTTATCGTCCCAAAATGCCGAAAGTCGTGTCGAGGAGCGTCGTGTGCTCGGACACCAGGGACCGGGAGGAGTACGACGACGGGGAGAAGCCGCTCCACGTCTACTACTGCCTGTGCGGTCAGATGGTTCTGGTTCTGGACTGCCAGCTGGAGAAGCTTCCCATGAGGCCCCGGGACCGAGCCAGGGTCATAGATGCGGCCAAACACGCTCACAAGTTCTGCAACGTGGAGGAGGACGAGACGGCGTACATCAAGAGGACCGAGGGCATCGAGCGGCAGCACCGCAAGAAGTGCGGCAAGTGCGGCCTGCTGCTCTTCTACCAGCACCAGGAGAAGAACAACCCGGCCACCTTCATCGTGGACGGGGCCGTGGTCAAGTTCGGCCAGGGCTTCGGCAACACCAGCGTGTACAGCCAGAAGCAGCCGGAGGCGCCCAAGAAGGTCCGTGTGATGATGACCAAGCGGACCAAGGACATGGGCAAGTTCAGCTCCGTCACCGTGTCCACCATCGACGAAGAGGAGGAGGAGATCGAGGCCCGGGAGGTGGCCGACTCGTACGCTCAAAACGCCAAGGTGATCGAGAAGCAGCTGGAGAGGAAAGGCATGAGCAAGAGGAGGCTGCAGGAGCTGGCGGAGCTGGAGGCCAAGAAGGCCAAGATGAAGGGGACGCTCATCGATAACCAGTTCAAGTAGACCAGAGAGGAAACTGAGACTGTTGTTCTGTGGAGGTCCTGCAGCTCCACAGACCTCCTCTTACATCTGAGAGGCCCACCTGTATAACACCAGGACTGATGAGGTGTGAAGCTGGTGAAATGTTGGACCTTTTATTTACTGAGAGATGTTTTTTTTTTTTCAAACGTGAAAAGACCAAATAAACATTTTGGATTTGTTTTTAAACCAGTTGTTCTTGATGTTATCTTCACCCGGTTGTTTGTCTCACCAGTAGAAGTCTTCTGCTGTTTGAAATTGTCACTTAAATGCTGTTGATGGGCTTAAACATACAACAGGACTTTATGAATAATAGTTTATTCATGAAAGGTTGAAGTAAACTGATCAGAGCTGATGTGAAAAGTCGCCTGCAACAGGTTTTTTATAGTCAGTTCCTCTAAAAAGTAACTGCCAAGCGTTCGTGATTCTGTCTCTTAGATGTGATGATTGCAAGACATGTTCAGGGAGTTTATGATGAACATTTTTCACTGTTTCTTTCCTAACTACCTGGCTGATTACATATCCTCATAAAAGTAATTTCAAATGAAACTATTCATGTGTTGCAGCCGTAGAAACATGATTCTAATCTGCCGTTTCCAGGCGTTTATCCACAAAACATGACAGCAGAAAAAGCACAGTTGTGAAATAACAATAAAAATGGCTGAAATGAGTCAGCCTCTGAATCTGGATCGTTTACAGTTCATTTGGAAATGTTATTAAGTCTAATTAAATCAGTGAGGAGCAAACAGACGCCAGTCGAGGTATAAAGCATCTAAAACCACCGATAGAACGATGAAGCACCGGAGCTCCACTTCACACATCACAACAGAAGATCTGAATAAATGGGATATTTCAATCTTCTGCTTTTTAAATATGTTCACAAAACACTCCGACATCTTAACTCTGTTCAGTCATTGTGGAATATTGAGTGTGAAACAACAAATTTGACGAAGCTTCTTCAGACCTTTACAAAAGCACTGACTTAGTTTGGTAAAGACGTATATTTTATTCTGTTCATACATGTAGAGGTGTGTGTGACAGATTAAAGGAGAAACCTGAACCCTTGACCCCCACAGTGAGACAGTCTGGTGGCTCTGTTGTGCTGTAGGAGGCATTTTATTGACATGTTTAGGTTTCACTTTGTCCGCTGACTGTGACAGCGCCTTTCACCACCATCATGAAAACACCAAAGGATGGACGGAATGGTTTTTGGAAGAATGGTGTAGAGATCATCCATCCATCATCTATACACCGCTTCATCCTCACTGGGGTTGCGGGGGGGCTGGAGCCTATTCCGGCCAACTTAGGGCGAAGTCAGGGGACATCCTGGACATGTAACCAGTCTATCACAGGGCTACACTTAGAGACAGACAACCAAGCACACTCACATTCATACCTACGGACAATTTAGAATCACCAATTAACCTCAACATGTTTCTGGGCTGTGGGAGGAAGCCGGAGAACCTGGAGAGAACCCACGCTGCATGCTCGGTGTAGAGATCAGAAAAAGTAATATTAAGACACACTGAGGCTGTTCTGGTGGTCCAAGACTTTACTAGACAGAAGTAACTAAGACCCTTTGTGAGTTTTTCCTTTAATTTGCCACCTGTATGTGAACATACTGCCTCAAATGTCTGGTGGTATTCTCATGGTAAAAGTTTGGCACTCTTCCTGCTATGGCCTGCCTTTGAGTCCCAGTCAGAGAACTTAATCATTCTCTGAGGATTGATTATCTGTTTATCTATCTAGACCTGATCTGGTGATTAACTGTCCTGACACGATGTTTGAGGAAAGATGTACATTTTAAGTTTTTATAATTGGTAATTAAGATATTTAAATTTGTCATGTGTCACACCTAATGTGGCGTTATTCAGATGTTTGTGGTTTTACTGTGTCAGACAGCGACTCGTTAAATGTAGGTCGGCGTCTAACTGGCAGGTCGGAGCTTAAATGTGGGTCAGAAACAGGACAAATTAGGAAAACAATGTGTTTCATGCACTGGATCATACTTTGGCTGCAGCTGACAAAAAGGCAAACGTGTTCAGGGCTACATATGTAGGTTATTACTTCTCTCTATGAAAGGCAGAAACTGTCTTCAAATGTTTAAAGTTTGTATAAAAAGTCAACTTCAAAATAATAATAATAATAATAATTCATTTTATTTGTATAGCGCTTTTCAAGAACTCAAAGACGCTTCACAGGATAAAAGCAAAGCAATAAAAGCATTAAACAACAAGCAATAAATACAAAGGTTGACAATATAGAAATACAGCAAGCAGGTGAAAAAATAAAAAATAAAAAACAAAAAAACTGTAAAAAAAATGTAACTTGCACTCGTAATTCTAGCAGAAAGTGGTCCAGGAAACACTAACATAAGACAATATGACACAAACAGAGAAAGCCCTCAATGAAACCAATGAAATGCTCAGTTATTAAATGCTATAAAGCAGCCACCTGTGTTATTATTGACACTCGTGTCTTTGCTTCTGTGACATGTCAGGATTGTAGTTTTCATGTTATTGTGATATGTTTTCATGGCCCGTGAGGTTTTATTTTGCAGTCAACTGGGTTTGCACCTGTGTCATTCATGCAAACACTGAATTAGAAATGCACAAATCTTTTCTGAATTTTTGCCGTCAGTTTCCTTTCCATGGTGACGTGAAGCTTTCCAAACACACATATTCAAGCTCATCACAAGGATGGCTGATGATCTTAAAGCCCCTGAAGCTGGACTTCACATTCAGTGCAGGTTAATGATCTGAGTGTTTTGTTGTCAACGGTCACACAAGCTCTGCTGTGCAGCTCTGTCCATGCCAGCCTTCTGTGTTGTATAACAGAGCAGTCAGTTGCACACTGTTCAGTATTATATAATGAAGCAGCTCTGGGGGTTTGTGCTCCACATGACCGTGATCTGTCCTCATCAAGCAACAAACTGCCGCCTGGAAGCAGACATCCATCAGCCATCTGGTCTCTGTGAGCTGAGCTGCAGCCAGTGGTGTCCTCTGATGAGGCGACGGCAAGAGTTAAAGCAACAACCGACAGCAAACGGTGGCACTAATTCTTATTATGTGTGTGTCTGATCTGGAGATTTGTTTTCAGGAGTGACTTCAGACTGGAGGATGGTGTCAAGTGTGTTTGATAGAAAAACAAAAAGAAAAAACTCTTATCTTCTGCCCTGGATGGAGGACACTGATCACTAATTTTAAGATGCTAAATAGCTTACATTAAGTTGAAATGCAAATATAAATAAAATATTCTTTGTGGTAATGTTTTTTAAGGGACATGATGGTATTAGTTAATTTATGTGAACCTATGAACACACTTTAAACTCTTCTCTTTAAACTATTCTAAAAAGAATTAAATATTAGAATCTGACAAACTGATCTGTGGTACGTCGTTGATCACTGGAGCAAAAACATATGAAGTGTTGCCAACATTTGTTGTAAAACAGGAGGGGGATGCAAAACATTACTGCTGTTGCTAATTGTTTAATTCAGGAAGTTCATGAACATGTTTCTTAAAAAACTGAAGTTTTATTTATTTGAAAAAAAAATCTAATTTATCAGTGATAGTCTGTTTGACTCAAGTTTTAGTCCATAAAACAAACTAGTTTTTAATATCAATTAATAGAATGATACACAAAATTATTTTTTTTAATCTTTCAAATTAACAAGACGTACCTATTTTGCCATAATTATTTTCATTATTTGTAAATATGTTGTTGACAACTTTAAAATAACGTATTTACTAGTCCAATTTTCAGTCATTAGTAAAGCAACTTTTTCTTTCAAATCATGGCAAAGATGAGTAAAACAATGATATTTTATATTTTTGGCTGATTTAAATACAGCAAAAGGGTAAGTTTATGGTCAAACATTGCGAAAGAGCGAATTACTATCTGTACAAATACAGATTTGTCTCAAGTTTTAGCCTTTTCTTCTGATTTTACTTGTTATCTGTAATTTAAGAAAACATGAAAAATCTGCAACATTACAGTAATTTGTTCCAAACATTACAGTTGAAATATGTTTAAAACAAACTTTTTTTTCTTTACAGTGAACACATATCTATTTGAAATAGCAATATGTATACAAATTATATACAGTGTACAACGATAATAAACATTTGAGTGTGTTTACGTCACTGTTGTCCTGCAGACAGTCAGTGTTCCACAGAGATAAAGTCATTTCCCTCATGCTTTAACCTACATTTCTCTGAACTACCTCGACATCAATGCGCTCCATAAACCTGTTATCTCAATGACCTCGCTGTCCTCGACGCAGTAATCCAAGGTTGCCCCATATGGTGTTCCTGAACTCTTCAAATGTTCCTGAACTCTTAAAATGTAAACATTGCAGAGAGTTGGTTTGCAGGTACAACCTAAGTCCTACACAAAACAACAACATGAACATGGACAAATTTCTGTTTCAACTTTTCAAATGCTTTTCTTGCCTTTAACTGCATTTTATGTGTGCACAGAGAATGGTAGAATTATATTGCTCCTATGTGGTCACTGAAATAAATGATAGGAGTGACAAAAAAAGAGAGAGAAATGACCGTAATAAAATTATTCATATTTGCGAGAGCTATGTGTCAGTTTGTAGTTTAATGATTAATTTGGATGTTTGGCTACTGTTGTGGATGCATGTTTATTTGAGATTTATTTAGATTTTTTTATTGGTTGGTTATTTATTAAGTTTCATTTATGTTTGTTTTGTTTATTCTGATAAGATTTTTGGTCTGTAGGTACACTGGCAGGTATCAGATAGGTTTTTTTTTTTTTTTTTTAAACCAGAACAAGAGAGGCAGCAGGAGCCATGAATCTGTTTGCGTGCGTTACATTTTGAACTTCTTTTACCTACATGCCCGTGGCACATCAGTGGCTCTTTAAGTATGAATTTGAGTTCTATTTCTAACAGATAGCCACTACAATGTTGTTATAGTTGATGGTAAAAGGACCCGTATAGCTGTGGGCCTGATTCTGCTGACTGACATGATTTTTAGGTCCTTCTGTCTGAGCAGATGGGAGCACATATCACATTATTAATTAATTATTAAGTGGAAAGGGCTTTATATATCTATTTAAAGGAAACATAATTAATACTGGGCTGCAAGATGGGTCGGTTGCCTCGCAGCTAGAAGGTCGCCGGTTTGTATCCTGGTGAGGACACCCGGGTTCTTTCTGTGTGGAGTCTCCATGTTCTCCCCGTGCAGCGTGGGTTCTCTCCGGGTTCTCCGGCTTCCTCCCACAGCCCAGAAACATGCCGAAGTTAACTGGTGGTTCTAAATTGTCGTAGGTGTGAATGTGAGTGTGCTTGGCTGTCTGTCTCTAAGTGTAGCCCTGTGATAGACTGGTTACCTGTCCAGGTGAACCTGCCTTCACCCTGAGTCAGCTGGGATAGACTCCAGCCCCACGTGACCCTAGTGAGGATTAAGGTGTAGAGATAATGGATGGATGGAAAATTAATGCACACATCACAGTATTTTTGTACATACATGATGTTACACACTCACTATGAAAACACAATGGGTGGCAACATTCACCTTCA